TGCGCCATGGGCAGGCACTTTCTTATAAATGCCCGGCAGACAATAACGAAAATTTCATGTCACTTAAGCAATTCACATGATGTCCTAATAACATCATATGATGCTACATCACTACCAATTAGTGGACCTCCTGCACCGTGGGCATATATAAGAAAGTGCCTGCCCACTGTGCAGGAGCGCCACTAATTGGTAGTGATGTGCCATCATTTGATGTTACTATAACCTCATATGATTTGTTGCGTTTGTGGCTGCCAAACATATATAAGAAAGTGTTTGCCCACTGTGCAGCACCACTAATTGGTAGTGATGTGAGATCATATAGTGTGATATCACTGTGATGTTTTGGGATGGTGTTGATGTGATAGGACATTTTTTGTTCTTGGCTGTCGGACATATATAAGAAAGTGCGTGCCTATGGCGCAGATGGCCACTAATTGGTGTAATGTGTCATCATATAACTTCATGAGCATCATCATGGCTTTTGAACAATTTAGACGTGGTTTTTTCGTTAATATTATACTATTATTATTATTTATTAATATAAGCTTAAAATTATGTATTTCTACTGTATAAACTACAAACCAGGAGCAGTGTGTTTCCTTGAAGAGTATCAGAAAACCTGTTATGACTCACAATAAAAAAAATTAAATATTTGTTATAAAATTGGCTTTGTAAAAGAATTTGCAATTTCACATTTATTTTCACATTAATATCACCGAAAGTTAACTTATATTTTAACAATATACAAGTACAAATACTATGGAAACATATAATTATTACTTAATTTCCAACATTACCTAAAATTCGTTTAAAATATCTGAGAATAATTCTATCAACTTAAGCGTTGTAAGAAAACGCGACATTTCTTCAACTGACCCCGTTTCAGTTTTTATCACTCCATTAACACAGCTGTCGAGTAACATTTCCAAATTTGGATATTTAGCTGTGATATCCGCTGGTATTGGTTTTAAGAAACCGCTCGTGCGATCACGCTTCAAGTTCTCACGCAAAAAGAGACACGATTCTAATAAATTCACATCGCTTATACCATACGAGCACAAACGATCCGGCACGAAGGCAAAGCAATCATCGCATTCAATATTTTCATGTTGATCTATGCCATCTTTATGGATTGTGTCCTTCGAATCCACGATAAATGCGGTATTTAAATCAATGAAAAATAGTTTGTCACTTTCCTCATTGTAGATTAAATTGTCTGCCGTTAAATCGGTTATATACATGCGGTAACCCTCAAAGCCATTTGTGAATTTCAAAGCAGACTCAAGCAGTTGCTTGGCTATGCGCAATTTAATTTCGAAATTTGCCTTGTAGAAATGTTGTAGCGTCGGGCCGACATGCTCCTGAAATATGGTTAAACCGCATATGCCGAACAATTGTGGCACCGGAAAGCCGTGATGTTCAAGATAAGGATGTAAAAGCAGTTGGGGATTGGTGAGCATGAGAAGCCATACAGTGGTTTCATTGTAATCGCTATGTGTGGTGAAAAAATTAACAAATTGCTGTATACTCCCATGTGGACAGATATGTAAATCAGATCCAACGACTTGAGCGAGGTACTCTTTTCGTAGATATTCACGATTTAGTGGAAAATTAAGTGCTCGAATTATTTTATAACTTTTCGGATAGCTTTTTCCGATGATTTTGTTACCAGTGATTTTAGAGCGAAATATTTGTGTTTTTCTGTGACTTCCAACTCTTGACACCAGATGGCTTATCAGATTTTGTGTATTCGATTCGTCATAGTCCAAGTTTGCTAGTATATATCTGCAATTCCTAACTACGCTTTTACCAAAAAGATGATCAATTGGAAGATCGTCCACTTGTATACTAATCATGTAGTTTACCATATCACGAAAGTTCAAGAGAATTATTAGCAATAATTGAAATTTTTTGCTGCATAATATACGTATAATTAAATAAAGCATTACTGAAATGAAAGAAATTTAAATTAAACAAATTTAAATGTATCGAAATCGATTCGAGTGAAAAAGAAAATGGTGTACTCAAAGTCACAAAAAAATCTTAAAACAATTTATCACCGATATTACTGTTATAACACCATACTTACAGACAGCATCAAAAATTATAAAAATTCTTATTTTTAAATATATTAGAACAACTATTTCACTCATAAAAAACCCAAAATTACTAAATCGAACATAACAAGACAAACTTTATTCCAATACCTTGCACGAAGACTTATTAAACACCAGTTTTGTTAACTAAAATTCAACTTTACTATAATATTTTAAGATAATAATAATAATAATTTAGTACTTGCACCTTTGCTGGAAGTTTGGTCGAGCCCATCAGAACTCCCTAGTATTTTAAGGCTGTATTCGAATAACAAACAGCTTTTCGGAAAAGATTCCAAAACAGTTCGGCTACAGGCCCAGCCGAGAAGTAGACAAAAACTCAATATACCATAACAATTTAGAGAACTTTGAACAGCTGATCTATCCAACTGAAAGACATCATCACATATAACCATGTTCTAAGCACAATTTTTACTAGCGAATTTTTGTTGCCTTCAAAACAATTCTTAAAAGGTTTATGAAATGTTATATTATATTATTAGTGTAAATCCAGTGGGCTCTTAAAAGCAGTGTTATTTGTTCGAATTTTTGCAAAAACTCAAAATTATACTCTTTAAGCTTAGATTTATTTCATAAAAACATCAAAAAGAGAAGTAGCAATCAGCCCTGCTTGGGGGGGTTAAAAGCTACAAGTGGAAAGATACAATGGTAAAAATTAGGTGAGGCGGGTGCCAAAAACTGAGCGACTAAAGCGTTGCATATGTACGTTTGGCGCAGTATTTGTTTGAAGTTCTGCTCGAATAAGACTGAAATATTGTAGATCGCTAAGAACTTAGCTGATTGCTTTCAGCTATACTGGTTGGCGTAAATACTCTGTCGAAAACGAAGACAATAGCCCAGTTATGACCATTTAAAAGAAGAGAACTAAATTTTTATTTTTGTAGTCATTCCGTATAGTTCTAAATGGCTAGCATCATAGTAGAACTAATATTTAGTTTGTACTATTAATGTATATGTCATCCTACAATTTTTAAGTACCTCCACGTCGCATCTATAACTATTTTTTAATGTGTTATCATGCTAGAAATACTTTCCAAAGGTTGCTGAGTGTTTAGGAATAATCTATGATGGATTGTCGTAAATATGTATATTTTCGCAATTAAGAGTATTATTTATTTCACCTCGTTGTCGAAAAGAACACATCACTTTATTCTTTACGGTAGTAATATAGAACCATCCCATTGTACGTTGCTCTAAAATTTTCTGATCACAGACTTTTTGCTTGTTTTTAGTGAATAGTTTACCTTATGAATACAGATGGTAAAAGCAAATCAGCTGGAAGAAGTCTTTAAGATACGAAGAAATCCTGTTTGGTTGCAAAGCATCGCGAACGTTATGTTTATACCTATATCTATGTGTATAGATGAATAAGTTGCAGTGGCAAAAGTGTTCTAGTATATCAATATGCTGCCATATCGTGCCTTATTTCATCCTTCCACATTCTTTCTCCCTAACTTGCGGCGATATTTTTTTATTCGCAAATGCTTGCACTTTGGCTTGTTGCTATGGCATTTGTCGGCATTGGCAGAAGCTGACGATGATGGTAAGTTTGGCTTTGGCATACAGACAGCTCTACCTGAACAGGTACAAAAATTTGTAAGTGAAACGAAAAAATGTAGTGTAGAAATTAGCAAAAGATAGCTTGGATATAAACGTTTCGCTGTTGTGCAGTTCAAGGTTGTTTGGGGAGAAAGAGGATGAAAAATATGAAAAGAATACATCAATGTGTTCCTATTAATATATGTATAACCATGCAGCTTTAAGCTTAATTAAAAAAAAATATATTGTATTGATGAGTTGGGGAATTAGCGAGAGCTGCTTTTGGTAGCCTGAGCCAGACACGACTTCTGATTGGTAAATTTTTATTGTAGACTTGAGTATTGTTGAAGAACATAGTGATTTCCGGGACTGTAACGTAGAGCGTGAAGTGATTAAAAAACAAAAAATCTCAAATCTAGCTAAATCATTTTCTTCTATATCTTGCTATTTTTTTATTAGCTACGAGCGCTTTGACGAAAAATGACAAATAGACGGTTCTACAAAATATAAAATTATGTATTTTCATTGAAATTCTATATTGAGGATTACATATTATTGAGAAATTATAAATTTTTAACCGGAATTAAAAATATTAGGGGGTCGTAAGATTTCAAAGACTTGGTATTGGCTCCAAGCATATTTTTAAGAAATAGTCGGCTCTACATAACCGGAACGGAATTGAATTTTTATGCGTCTAAGCATTGCTAACTCGACAGCTCTTCTCCAAAGTATTTAATGAATGTTTTCTAGGTTAGGTTAGGTTAAAAGGTCGATCCAAAAAATGTATCCCACTTAGACAGCTGAGAACGCCGATTCATTGTGATACCTAACTACTCTTACCACAAGTATTAATCGTAAAGACGCTACAATAATAACAATAATATATTCAAGTTATGCGTCTACAAAATCTAATGGAATAGCAAAAACTCACTTATTGCTACAAAAATATAATCAAGCGTCAATATCAAAACATAAGCAAATTTAATATTCTCACCTAATTTAGGTGTTCAGTACTTCCAAAAAAGGAAATATGCATTAAAATATTATATTTGCAAAGATAACAGTTATGTGTGAAAACAATGTTATCTCCTAAGCTGATTATATTAATTAACAGGTGTGACATAACACTGCTCAGCGTGTCAAAACATTTTCGATAAAAACTTGCAGACACTAAGAGTTCTTGTTACAAAAATAAAAACAAACAAACGACTGTGAAGTGTAATAAACTCATATATGTATTAAAAATAAAATCATTTATAAACAAAAGTTTGCACTTTAATTTATATTTACATACATATTATATATCAGCAAGTATTCATACATATGTATGCACATACATGCCTACTTAAATATGTATTTGGTTAATTCATTGAGACTAAAAGCATTCGCTGTTTAAAGTTAACCAGCCACAGACTGAAGCATTTAGACCAGTTCTCTGCTCAGTAGTACATTCAACTAATCTGAGCGCTTACTAAGAATATTGAGCATAACGCTTTTTAAAATTTAAACCTACTCATTGAAAATACATGCGTGTATGTATTGTACAATGTTTAGGAGTGTTAGCAGACTGACAAATGTTCGGCGAGCTGAATGACTTGACTAGTACTGGGTACCTCTGAGCTTGTTAAAGAAAATAATCATTGGAACTTATTTTTGAAATGAACCTCAGCGCCTACTAATTATATATAAAACAGATCAAATTTGTCGCGGACTACTTTATCGCGAACGCAATTAGGAAAGGTCTTGAATTCATCAAATATTTGCCTCATGCCTCTATGACTGACGATAACATCGAAAAAGTTAAAGAAACAGTGTTTGAAAAGCGTCGTGTTGGCGCCAAAGAGATAGCAGAGGATATCAACATTTCTTATGGTATGACTAAACACATTTCAGTTAATATTTTGGGTATGAAGTGTCTCAATGCTAGACTTCAATTAAAATACTTGAATCTATTGCAAAAACAACGTCGAGTAGTGGTAGCTGAAATTCATACATTCGTCAAACGCATCATTACTGGTGGCGAAATGCGGTAATATGGCGTTGAACGTGTAAATGTTTGTTTTTTTGTTTGTAAGTCCGGGTCAAATTTTGATCGCATGCTTATTCGTTTTAACCGAAACATTTATAATTGTGTGGAGAACATCTGTTGGTCTCTCCACTTGTAGCATGCAAGCCTTTACTAACGTTAATTGAGTAGCATTTGTTCTACACTCACAACCGGCATTGATCGAGGTGAAATGCTCAGATACATGAGTGCCACTCGAAAGTGCGCTGTGCGGCGGAAAGCTATCAGAATCTCAGTAAAAAGCATTTAATCGTATACGAGTCGTCGAGGCATAAGGTTTGTGTAAAATCGCCAATAAGATTACAAGAAAATATATTTTCGCATTAGTACGAGTATATGAAATAGTAAAAACAGTACAAAAAGTCAACGAAGAAAGCAAACAAACGTATTAATTAAGTGCTGTCTGTGTATGTGTCTCCGAAAGGTGAATGAAATTGAAGTGATACGGTGAAGGTAAATACATATAAGAAAAGCTAATAAAATAATATAAACATACAAGATCAGCTGGTAAATTGTATATTACTTGAGACAAAAAAAGCGAAAAATCGGTCAAGTGCAATAATTAAAAAGGAGATCTACATATACAAGCATATTTGTATGCATAAATGCACAGTAGCAACAAAATTTACGTAATGAATTTGCAATGTGACATAGTATATAAGACGAATTGCAAGCCCAGTAGAAAAATGCTTTTGTAATGACGGAAATGGGCGCAATTTTTAGATTGAAGTAGATTAAGTGGGAAAAAAGCAAAAACTAAAAAGTGCTCATGCGTTCTTTTTTAAATAAATTAAATAACAATTATTGTTATTTAGTTTAATGAATTAACAGAAAGATTTTATTGCGTTTGACTGTCGAATATTTGATATTATAAATCACTCATTTCGATAATGCCAGCGGCGTATTGATAGATTATGATCGCAAAACAAATAAAACAGCATGCGTTTTTTGATGAGGCAATCGTTAAGATTGATTGTAAAAAAGTGGACATATGTACATAATACATATCTATGTAGAAAGTTAATTTGTTATTATTTGCATATAAAAGATTCAGTAAAAAGAAACTATTTTCAAAAACCTGTTTTATTTTCGTAGCATTTGCGCATTAGTTTTGAATTGAACAAATAACGACATGCATACATACATACATATGTACATACATACTAATATATGAAGCATTATTTTGGAAGAGCAAAATATAAAAATAAAATTATTTTAAAAATTTATATAAAATATTTTTTTATAAATAATTAAAAAATAAAAATATTATAAACTGTATAGTTTAAAATAAAGTGAAGTTGAACTTTTATTGCAACTGCATTTTTATAGCATAAAATGGTATAAAAATATATTTATCTTAATTTTAAGCAGTCAGTTTGTGTGGCAGCTATATGATATAGTTGTCCGATCTGAACAATATTTTCGGCGATTGTAGCCTTGCCTTGGAAAATATTCTGTGCTAAATTTTGTTAAGATAACTTGTCAAATAAAATAGTTTTCCAGACTTATTTTTCGATGAGATTGTATGACAGCTACATATATCATATAATGGTCGGATATCGCGGTTCCGACAAATGAACAACTTCTTGGGGAGAAAAATATGCAAAATTTTAGATCGATAACTATAAAACTGACTGACTAATTCGCATATATACCTAAGGACGGAAGGTAAAGGTTAAATCGACTCAACTCGTCACGCTGATATACATACTTATACTTTATAGGGCCTCCAATTTAAAAAAGATCGTTCGCATACGGAAGTCAGCTCAGTATGTGTATCAATGCAGATATACTTGTATTTCGGTGCCTAAAATATCGCAAAGTGTCAATTAAATTGTACTTCAACCGCTTCCACGTTGTTAAAAATTTGTATGAGGGCTTACGGGGGTATTCTGGTTTAGAAATTAAAAAAAAACGAGTCTTTTGTGCATATTATTATTATTGTAATATAACCCTTTAAGAATATGTCCCTAAAAAGGTTTTTTGAAATTTCAATTATTATCGGAGTTGCTTTGACGAGCTTTAAGTCGTTTTTCTCTGAACTACTTTTTTAGAAACGGTGTGCATGATATCTCAAGTTCTACTCATTCTATTTAAAAATTGAAATTTCATACAGAGCTTCTTTATACATTATACTATCGCACTACGAGAGGAAATTTTTTTTTATATATTTTTAAAAAATCCCGAACGGCAAAAAACCAGGAAAATAACGAAACATATTTTTCAAATAGCCGTCATTTTGTGAAAAAATTTTCCCGGACCCGCCATTTTTTCATCAGTCCCCACTCTGCCGGCCTGAAATGTTTGAAATTTTTATTTTTTTTTTAATATTATAAATGATTTATACTCTTTAAAAATGTATGTATATTTCTGTTTTTTTTATCGGGTCTGAACAAGAGCCTAAAATTCGGGATTCTAAACTAGAATACTTCCTTAACTGTTCACACGCGTGCTTCTCAAGTAGTTTCCTGCAGTATTACAAAATCAAGAGATCAATTTCATCACAGCTTGCAATTATTGGAAAGAAAACAGCATGTTAAACATTATTAATTGCATATTCATGAAAGTCTGGGAATTTCGTGGTACACTGTCGAAGCATTTCTTTGAAATTTAATATTCATTGCAATTCAATAATTTTTATGTAATTTTGAACTCACGTTCCGGCCATACTACGCGCAAATGTGTTATATATACAATTTTTTCTCTTCTGCTGATTTAATTTATACGTTCTAGTATTTTATGCGAACCAGTTTTGTGCTGTTCTACACGCTCAAAACACCTATTTACCCAAATCGATCTAGGAGCAAGTCGCTCGCACAATGCCGGTAATCGGCGATGACAAATCAAAACCACCTTTTTATTGTCTGTTTTCATTTCTGTTTTTGAAAAATACGTACATAGATAAAAAACAAATGACGACTTAAGGCAGGTAAATACCGAATCTTGACTTAGACAACATAAAAAGCTACTCAACATTTTCTAAAAAGCTGTTTGTCCATAGCAAATATACTATGTACTCTGAATGTAAACAAATGCTGATATAATTGGACGTGCGATTATAAGAATTATCGTGATTTTTTTTAAAGGTGACCAGCTATCAATACAAGCACCTTTTTATACTACTATACACTTATTTTTTCCATCACAGTAGGGCAACATACAAAAATACAGTTGTCTGGCTATATATTCTAATAGTGAGTTATGGAGTGGCGATAAATGTGCCACTTCTAAAATAATGACGCTCAATAATTTTGAAGATAAAGGCTATATACTTGTAGAGTGTTATTTAATATTAATAGCATTTAATATAGAAAATGCTAATGATGACGCGCGAGCAAAACTCAAAAGTGCATTTTCGAAGAGCGCGTTCGCGATGTTTGTCCATCTGTTTGTATATACACGAACTAGGTCCTCAGTTTTTGAGATAACGATTTGAAATTTTGCACACGTCTCACAAAGAAGCTACCTAAAAGCTGTCATACAAATTTCATGATAAAAATCAAGTTATTGTATGATAAACCTTTTTTGTGAGGTTTATTATAGCTTCGGTGCAAGCTCTCAATACCCTCAAATACATTCAGACATTATCTTAGAGTAACTAGCGGCTGCTAGTGACTGAACAAGTTCTTGAGCGTATGACGATATAAGAAAACTGCGTCAAAATATTTTGCACATAAGCATGCTTGCATAATAAGTTTATTGGTCAAAATACTGGAAAAACTCTTTATCCATATTTATAAAACCATCTCAAAATTTCGTCGAAACATCAAAAATTCTTCATATGCTGAGTTGTTAACTTACAGTTTCGTCTGCTCTGTTCGAATTGGGAACCGCTTTTTCAAAATGTGTGAATCAAACCGATTTTTCAGGCAGTGGTAACTTTCTATTTACCGTTGGAAATACTGTTTTCGACACTTAGCCAAAATTAGTCACAAGATCTGCAATTGTGGAGTTTGTACAAATGTGATAGTAGTAACGACTAAAGTGTTATTTTTTAGGCATTTGGGATTTGGATACTGAAAGCCCAAGTGCCTGAAAAGCCGCTTATTCTTTACATGTTTATTCTTGATATTCTCCTCAACGTTTAAACCACATGATGAAAATTTAAATTAACTTGGAGTATTTACAAATAAAGCACGTGTATTGTCTCATTTTTATTTACATATTCACAAACTTAAAACGGGGATGTGAATCAGACGCAAGCGAAATATTACGAAGTCATTGAGCAAACGTAAAAATAACGAACTACCACTGGCACTAATATTTAGACACAATTAGTATGCAAAAACAAACGATTTATTCAAATCACGTTTTCGTTCATGGAGTTTTGTAGGCGACGCTGCTGGCCACCTTAAAGCTTCTAACGCTCACTAGGTATGCATATGCATACATATGTATGTTCATAAGCATATGTATACCATATGCCATCATTAACTTGAAGTTTGATTTTCAAGTTCAAGAATAAATGGAACTACAAGTTATTTTCAACAGACATTTGTCTACCAATACATACATACATACATTACTATTGCATTTAGTTCAGTATAAATGTGCAGTTGGTTTATAGCAAACAATCATCTGTCAAATGCATTTCAGTTGCATATCTAATATTTGTATCAAATTTCTAACTTCAAATGGAATTTCAAAAGCGAAACAATTAAGCTGCCTTTGTTGTGCCTTGCAATGCTTTACCTTTAAACTATGCAAATAAATATTTTAATTTTTGATAAGAATTTTGAATCAACGACCATGAAATTAGCATGACATTAAGAATTAATACAGAAATTCGCAAAAAGCAAAAGCAGAAAAAATTGCTTTTAGTCATGACATAACGCCGCTAAATGTTGTAGCTGCCAATTTGTAATCAGATATATTATATTAACATATAACGGTTTTCAACCTAACTGCATTTTGGTTGAAGTTTGAAATACGGTAATATCGATATCAACTGAAGCCGTCAAAAACATGTCGGTTGAAGTGTTGTCAAATGTGTTGTTACGGTTTCCAACTCTGTGCCAATGGTATTGACTTGTATCAAAGCAGCTACCAAGCAGTTGCAGTTGAACGTTTGGGAAAAGTGGTTTTGAAATTTAGCCGAGACTAAATACAAAACTACATAGATGTACATTTCGCATAGCGGAAAACCTTCGACAGCTACATACTTATGTATCTCATGATTTGTAAATTTTCCTTGCCCAATTTTTTGAATATGGGTCAGTAAGCTTAATAGTTTTTGCTAACAGTCAGTGCAAAAATTTTCAGTTTTTGCTTTAAATATTGTGTACTCAACTATTATACAACTCTAATTTTTTTCCACTTTCAGATGAACTCAATATTCTTGCCGAGCTACTCACAACCGGTGTCGACACCGCAGACCAAATCCGTACAGCTGGCACATCAGCTTATGGACAACGCCGCCATGGCGGCACAATTTAGTCGCCGCTTCGAACAACTATTGCGCTCTGAGAAATTCTATGATTGTGTTTTTCACATTGCCGGCGCACAGTTAAAGTGTCACAAATTGATATTGTCCACAGCGAGTCCAGTTTTCGAAGCCATGTTTTATGGACCGCTACGTGAACAAAAACAAGAAATCGAAATTTTGGATATTAGCGCCGAAACTTTTCAGATGCTTTTAAATTACATATACGCTGGCGTTATAGAATTTGAGGCGCTCACGCTAGAGGACGCCATAGAACTATATTATTGCGCTGAGAAATATTTAATCAGCGATTTGACCAATAGTTGCCTGCTAGCGATAGCGCGCAAGCTACGCTACAACAATATATTACCAGCGCTGGAGCTTTGTGTCTGCATGGATTTGCGCGATTTACTCGACGTTTGCATGTCGTTCTTTACACGCTGCTGCATCAACAATCCACAATACATGACCTCACATAAGAATCACTATGTGCATGTATCCAAGGATTGCATTAAGGCGATCATAGCGGCTAATAAGAGTGAGAAGACCAACAAACAGTTGTTGTGGTTCGTTTATGAGTGGTGTCAGCAGGAATGTCATGAATTAGGTTTACAACAGGAGGATTGTGCGTTAATTATAAATGATCTGCAATTGCCGGTAAGCGGTGTTGAGTGTGCAGATCATGCGCTCAAGTCGTCACAACAGCAAAAACAACAATGCTATGCGATTGAACGCAGCTATTTCAAGGCATGCCGTCCCTTTATCGTCGATCAGGACACACACGAATGGACGTTGTATGTAAAATGCGATCGATTTATTGCTTTGCGTGGTCTCGTTATCTGTAGTCGCTTAACGCCAAAACTATTACCGATGGCGCATCATTATACTTTTAACATACCCAGCGAGTATTGTGAAAATTTACAAATTGAGATTATAGCGCCTGCCATAAATGCTAACCAGCAGCAGCTAGAGCAGAGTAGCGGTAGTGATGGTGAGAGTGATGAAAGTGATCAAGAGCCGAATGCGGCGAATGGCAGTGAGACTGTTCTATGGCAGCACAATGTTGCAAAACAGCTGACAAGATACAATTGTGATATGAATATTGATTGGGGCGATGGTTTGTTACTAACGCCTGACATAGAATATAAAATTCGACTGTTGTGGCGTACCGATGCGCACGGCTCGGAATATCCTTGCAGTTTACAGTCGGATTTCGTCGATGGCATAAGTTTTAGGGACGTGCCAACGCAAACAGGCAGTTTAGTGAAGGGCTTGCGTTTTACAAATTTAGTTTAAGTATGCTCAAGAACATATTTTAATTTTATTATTTTAACACACGACTACTTAATGTATTTTAAATCATAAGAAATTAAATGAAATAGTTGCAAAATTCAAGTTTTTGATTGACTGCCATGAGTAGATGGAACATGAGTGGTTTTTTTTTTTTTTTTGATTTTAACGATAGGTCAATAAACCATACAAGTTCTGTAGACTGACTTCGTTTTTTCAATATCTCATACATTTGTATATTCTTTTGTATCTACATATGTATATTCGGCGTTTGTTAACCTGTGAGAACAAACATATGTTTATCCATTTCTTTTTGGTTTATTCAAATTTGCCTCATTAAACAGTATTTAACCTCTTGTCTCCGCTAAAAACCTGTTATATGTATGATAGAGTGCGAGATCGTTTTCCATCAATCATGGATATGCAAATTTTATACATAACTACATATGTACATACATATATGTATATAGCTATGTGCCTACTTTCGCCGTATTTAAAAAGCTGATTTCTAACATAAAAATTTCCTAATTTCTCCACTGAATTTTTAATTTTTATCAGAAGTCAATATATTTGCATATGTGTCTTTTAACTCTCAATCATGAGCCACTGGGGGCATATAAGTTAACAAAAGTTACATATGCACATACTTAGCTCCATTTAACTGGATGTTTGTCTAATTGTAGTACTATCTAATAAGTGATGCTCTATCGCAAATTTGTGTTTTGGGCATCGGACTTTACGTTACCCCTTGAATAATTAACTGTTAGAATTATATATGCTTGCGAATAGCCACCGCGACGTATACTTCAAAGGGTGTCACAATTTTAAGGTTAGGTTATACTTGAGGCATCAAAAGCGCACTCGCTTGTATATACATACATAAGCAAATAATTCCATATACGCTACCCGTAGTACACGCCAAATAAGATATTTTGTACTCGAATTAACTACAAATCAAATTCTACGACTTCGTTCATAGATAAGTACAATTTCTGATTATACGCCAACATTAGTACAAAAAAATAAATGAAAACTTACCGCCTACACTTTATATATGTACATATGTAAATGGTTAATATTAAAAAAAAAAACAATACAACGTTGCAAATGATAAACAATCCAACATAAAGATGTATAAACAATACTAAAACTTACACTTTCGCGCTTATCATAATAAATGTAATTAAACATCATCAGCTGTTCGCTGCAATCAGTGTTGTGCAAAAGTACATTTACTGTTGGGAAACGCTCACAATGCAACTATGTGCTTTCGGAAATCTAATCCCTCTTTTTGCAATTGCAATTCTTAACCCATTTTTATTAATTAAATTTATTCATTGGTGTAATTGTTTGCTAAATATTCTTTGAAAAATATGAATTAAATACAAATTAAATTTATTTCGTATTATTAAATGGAAATAGACCAAATAAATACTTTTATTTAAAGAATTAAAATAGATTTAATAATTGACAAAAAATGCGCTACAAAAAAAAAAAACAAATGTAGTTAAAACAGCTAGATAACTAATAATCTAATAGCAATACAGAATAAATTATAAACATTTTAAGCTTTGGGGATTTCAAATTCGCTTGATGGTCGCAAAACCACTTTACGCGTACGTAAGGAATAAGTGCGTTGGTTATCTAGTGGTTCTGCAATAAAATTTGGTCACACAATTAATTGGCATTAAATAAAGATTATTTGAGTTATTTACCTTCTGTGCTAGTTTGCATACGGTGTTCTTCATCTTCGCTAGGCTCATCATCCTCTAAAGTAAACTTGAATTTTTTAACACGCAATTTTTCGCTAAAAATTACACTCTTCGATTTTCCCTTAGCCGTGCCGGGTGTCTTTAATATAGACTTCCGACCAACATTTACAGTTGGCGGAGCGGGTGGTGGTGTCAGCGTCGGCGTTGGAACCTTGGCTAAAACATTTGTATCTTTGCTCACTGCATTCGAATCAAGTGGTAGCTCAATGAAATTGGGTGTGCCACTGCGACGGCGTGATTTATATGCATTTCCGGCAAGAGCGCTACGCAACAAATCGCTACTGCCAGCAAACGCTCTTTCCATGCTATTAATGCTGCGTCGCAACTCATTGCTGCATTCCTTAATAGTTTTTGGTGATTCTGCCGCGATGCGTGAACGACGTCTCTGCGCAGCTGCAGCAGCAATTATTTCACTATCGGCAGGCAAACTAATAACTGTGGCTGCCGCTGATAACGATTTGCGATCACGTACAACAACTGAAATGCGACGCGGTGTGCTATTGTTGCACTCACCACCTGAACCTATTTTCGGAGTGCCACTTTGGGAGCGACGTTGTCGTTGACGCGTCGGTGTTAACATCATTGCAACATCTATGTTTGCACCTGGAGCTGTAGCTGTAGTTTCTTTGTTTTTACGCATCTCCGCGTGCATTTTGCGCAACATTGCCTGTAAACCGCTACTGGCTTTTGCTGTTTTAACTGGCGCTTTTGTCTTCTTCACTTTATTCAATTTCGGCTTGGGTTTTATGTTGTCTTGTTTGATTTCCTCCACATCGTCAGGATCGGACCAATTATTTGCTTTCCAACGTTTCAAATTTTCGAAACGCTTCTCCACATTATCAACCTGTAAGCAAACAAATTAGTATTAAATAAATATATTTTTATTGTTTGAAATTACCTGTAAATTTAACATGGACCAAAAACCTTCCAAATCCACATCAGTAATAAGCTTTGTATCTTCGCTACCATCATCAGCAGCTGCCGTACCTTTTGCACCGCTTTCACAACGATCAATTAGCCCTTTAAACTGTTGGAACTTTTTACTTGTTAGCAGCTTGGTTTGTCCGATGGTAACGTTGATCATGTCTTCACCACCAGTCTTTTGTAAAAGCGGTAAATTTTGCATTTTATATTCCTCCCATTGGTCGCATAAAGTAAGTAAGCGTTCGATTTCGTTTTGCAGCTGTAGTCGGAAATAACGCACCGCCTCGAGTATTCGGCGGGCCTCAACACTAACCGGAGTAGCAATTGATGATTTGCATGGTGTTTCTACTTTATTTGCTTCTTCGGTCTTCGTTAATGTCGTAGATAATAAGGTGTCATCTGCATTTGGAAGGTAAATGCTATCCCGTTTTTCGCGTTCTTTACGCGCGCTAACTTTACCACGCGACACCGAAACAAAAGAGCTGATATAGTTTACAGGACGTGCTGGATCAGTGGGAGGAGGTGTTTTCGATGCAGCCGAGTCGCAATTTATTTTATTTTCCGGTGTCAATGTCGTAATGCCTGTCATAATTCAAATAAATTAATGAAAATTTACGTCCATAAAACAAATAGAAAAAAAAACAACTTCAGCTATAATATCCTACACAGGTGCATTTTTCTAACGCGGACATGAAGACAGACACGGCTCATTCACCGCTCGTCACGCTGATCATTTATATAATACTTTATAAGATCTCGCGATGTTTTTTGTTTTTTGGGTGTTATAAACATCGACAAACTTTATATATCCGGTTCAGGGTATAATAAGGAAAAATCTTGAACATTTGTTTTATCATAACATATATTATATCGATATGTACTCACCTTCATTACTTGAGTCTTTTGGTTGAGCCTCAACCATAGTTTGTTCCGTTTGATTAGTAGGTATGCTCGCCTTTACTTCGTTTTCTACATCCCCTGTATCTGAATCACTTTCTAGTTCTGACAACCCAACCGAATAACGTACAAAATTAAATTTACTCTTTTGCCTTTGTATTTGATTTTGTGGTAATTGTTTAGCAGCAGGCGTAAGCAGCACGCGTTTAGCCGAAGTTGAACTCTGCATACGAATATTTTGATTACACTCTGTTCCTTCTTTCTTATTATTTGCATCGATTTCGGAATTAACAGGACTTATATTAGGCGCATTGGCACTATGTGGTGACAGCGATTTAACACGTGTCGATGTAACAAATGGCTCAAATGGGTTGATATTTAGCAAATCTGTTGGCGTTTCCGCAATAGCGAATGCTGCATTCGCAGTACAAGTACGCTTACCACCCAGTAACGTTTTGCCTTTAATGATAATTTTGCTAGGTGCTGTTGGACGGTTAAGTTTAGAAACCTGCGTACCTTTTGCCTTAAAATTTGTTGCAAGTTTTGCATTACGGTGTTCGTTTGTTTGGACAGTAACCCGTTTGCTATGTAGATTTGATTTTCCTATTACCCCTGTATTTCCAACTGTACCGGCATTAGGTAATTTTGCATTTGCTCCAATCATTATAGGATGTGTCAATGGCTTCCTAGATAATGTGCTAGGCGCTTTTACTGGCTGTGGGCGTGCAAACTTTGTTGCATTATTTAAACGATTTACAAAAGTCTTCGTAACATTGTCACCACTGTTGCCTTTGACCCCAGAAGTCTTTTTTAATTGTTCGTTTATATGTGCCTTTTGATTTACATTCGAAGTAGATTTTTGTGTAGCAGATGCTTGGGTTGCTACATTTCCAGGATATGTAAGACTTTTCTTGTTAGGGGCGATTACTGCTGTAGGTTTAGTTACCGCATTTGTTATTGTTTGGGGTGTTTTCGCAGCTTTCGTGCTACTTGATTTGGTGATTGTAGCAGTTTTTATTGATTTTACCGTGGTCATAGCTGGAGTTGTAGTTGAATTTATTTTCCCCAAAGTAGACATAGCCGGAGTTCTACTATCTGCCGAAGACTTTTTGACATCGACTTTTGTGGTATTATCTTGTTTATTCTTTTGCGGTGTTAGCACAGCGGTGTAAAATGATTTTCGACCATTTTCAATTATCCTTTTAGCTGATGATGTCTACAATATAAAAATTATAATTTATAACTAATATTTTGAAAAGAAAATTACCATTTTTGAAACTGGATTTTTTAGTCCTATAGGTGGTTTAAAAGTTGTATGATCCTTTGGTACAAAGGTGGAAATTTCTTTGCTTTTCACTTTACTTGAAACTGCTGCAAACGATTTAATTCCATCACTAAACGCATTTCCGCCAACTCCACCGCAGGGTACAAATGGTCGTTTTTTTGGCTCTAGTCTCTTCTGCTCTTTTTGTTTGTGTGCCTCTTTCCATTGTATAAATTTCAGCAAAAATGCTTCTTGCCGTGTGGACTTTTCAGAACTTTTTTTACTTGTTGCTACCAATGCTATTCGGGACTTATTGATCTCAGTCTGATCAGTATTTTTCGTCTCATTGCATTTCGGAGCAGTTGAGGTCTCTTCTCGAACATCTACATTCTCTTTATCTTCAAAGCATATGTCATTAATTTCGTTTACATTTTCCTTAAGTTCTAACTGGTTTTCCCTTTCAAATAATTTTTTTGGAGTCGGGCTGACATTGAAATTACGTCCACTTTCAAAGATTTGTCTGCGTTTTTTGGCGCGATTTGCATTTTGTAATTCTCGATTTGTCCGATTGTGTTGCGCTGGACTCATCATGGAAGAATTTTCCTTATATAGACTACGGTAGCGATCCATTTTCAACAATTATTCAACTTTTAACTGAAAATTATGTTTAAAGATGCCAATCACTTTACAAAAATAACTTGACGTACGAACAAAAAAGGATACAATACAAAAATTCAAACGCTTTGGGTATTTCAGACAGATCAAACCGAAATTTCCCATTGAGGAAATTTTTAGAGTTGCCAAGTCCAAAGGCATACTTACAATTCATTTTTAAAAATTTCGTTAACATTGTCACAATTTAACGAAATTTCTAATGTTAAAAAAAAAACAATATCAATTTTATAAAGCCATAAAGAAAGCTTAACTTATTATCAAGTGTTAAGGCAATCCACAAATTGCGTTCATAGCCTTTAATGATATTACCATGGAAACACAGTAATCAGCTGATTTGCCGACAAAACAGATTTTAAAGCTGACACTTGAAAATAACATATAAAAAATAAGTTTATGAAATAAAAATGATACGAAGTTTACGAATATCAAAGAGACTAAATAAACTGTTCTTATTTCAACGAAAAAACTCAACTTTGCAAACAGCCCAAGATACAGGGATTGTATACGATTGTATAGTGATTGGAGGTGGTCATGCCGGTACAGAAGCAAGTGCGGCGGCGGCCAGAATGAATGCACGAACTTTGTTGATTACACACAAACTCGAGACAATTGGAGAAATGTCATGTAATCCATCTTTTGGCGGAATCGGCAAAGGGCATTTAATGCGTGAAGTCGATGCATTAGATGGATTATGCGCACGTTGTTGTGACGTTTCTGGGGTGCAATATAAAATTTTAAATCGGAGACGGGGACCTGCTGTATGGGGACCGCGGGCGCAAATCGATCGTAAACTATATAAGGAAGCTGTGCAAAAAGAATTGTTCAATATGGCGAACCTGGAAATACGTAGCGCAGCTGTGGATGATTTATTTATAGATGCAGGAGCCGATGGAAAAACGCAATATTGCAAAGGTGTAGTACTGCAAAGTGGTGAAATTGTATATAGTCACACCGTAATATTGACCACGGGGACATTTTTGCGAGCAAACATCAATATAGGACTTGAAGTGCGACCCGCAGGTAGAATAGGAGATGAACCAGCAATGGCATTGGGTCAATCGCTGGAAACTATAGGTTTTCGAATGGGTCGTTTAAAGACGGGCACTCCTCCACGCATTGCTAAAGATTCCATTGATTACGATCGAATAACGCGTCATACGGGTGATAACCCACCAGTACCTTTTTCTTTCTTGAATGACAGAGTTTGGATTGAGGCAGACCAACAACTGCCATGCTACCTAACGCATACAACATTACGTGTTAATGATATTGTGCGGCAAAACTTGCATGTAAATCGTCATGTAACTGAAGAAATCACAGGTCCCCGGTACTGTCCATCCATTGAGTCAAAAGTGTTACGATTTGGTGAAAAGGAACATCAAATCTGGCTAGAACCAGAGGGATTCGAAAGTAAACTTATCTATCCGCAAGGACTGTCATGTACTCTGCCATACGAACAACAAGTGGAATTGGTACATAGCATTCACGGCTTAGAAAAAGCTAAAGTGGAGCAACCTGGCTATGGTGTAGAATATGATTTTATTGATCCGCGTGAACTTTTTCCTACGCTGGAAACGAAACGGGTGGAAAATCTGTACTTTGCCGGACAAATAAACGGCACTACTGGTTATGAAGAGGCAGCAGCGCAAGGTATAATTGCCGGTGCCAATGCGGCTAGCAAAGCAAAAGCAGAAGCACACGACGCTCAAACTGAAAACAATAAAGTCAATCAACTGAAAATTAGTCGTACTGAAGGTTATATTGGCGTACTCATTGATGATCTAACAACTTTGGGTACTAATGAGCCGTATCGTATGTTTACTAGTCGCGCTGAATTTCGTCTTTCACTACGTCCAGATAATGCAGATATACGTCTTACCGAAAAAGGCTACAACATTGGTGTAGTCAGCAAAAAACGATTTACAATTTTTAAGGATACAGAACAAAAACTATATCTTGCCATTGAACAACTGAAATCTCTGCAGCAACATTCCAATTATTGGCGACGTAAGCTTGGCATACGTGAAGCAAAAGCTTCTGTGGAAAAAAGCGCCTTCGATATGCTTGGCATTCCGGCAGATAATATAACACTAACACAAATGATAGAACTGCAACCAAAAGTTTTGGGTTGGTTACGAAACGAGCGTGTGATATGTGAACGCTTAAAGATCGAAGCGTTGTACGCCTATTTTGTGACCGAACAGCAACGTGATGTCGAAGATGTACGACGAGAGGAAGGCTTAGCAATACCAGTTGATATTGACTATTTCGCCAAAACATTAAGCCTTTCGAATGAGGAGCGACAAAAGTTGGCTTTGATACAACCGCAGACTATAGCAGCGGCGAGTCGCATACAGGGTGTGACACCCGCAACTATTGTTCGCTTGCTGAAATATGTAAAACGTGAACCAGCTGCGACGCAAAAAATAGTTGTGTAAAACGATAAGCGTAGGCGAAAGAAAAACGAATGTTAGCATAGTCTAGTTCATCCAAAATTTAGCACAAATTATATCATTAAATTAATTAAAAATAAATACAATATTTCTTTTAAAGTAGCATTTCTGGCATTTAACATTTTTTTTTGAAGATTTTCAAAACGTATGGAAAACCTTTTTTATTTGACAAGCTATTTTCACGAAATTTGACATGGATTATAAATAATTAAATTATAATTATAACGAATAAATTTTTCAGATCGCACCATTATAGCATATAGCTGCCATACAAACTGACCGATCAAAATAAAGTTTTTGTATGGAAACTTTTTTATTTGTGGAGGGTATGTATGCTACCTTCGGTGCAAATGCAATTAACGTTTTTACTTGTTTTGATTAAAACAAAATAATTTTAAATAACACAACAACAATATTACGATATATTTGTTTAGTTTTTTGCTTTATTATTTGTAATACATTTATGGTTTTAAAATTACGGGAATGCAGTAAGTAATTATTGAAAACGTTTCGTTTGCATACTTAGCAAAGTAAAGTGCTTACAAATCGTGGCAGAGGTGCTCGAAATAATCAAATAGTTACTAAAAGTTAATAATAATACAGTTATGCTAGACAATAGTTATTAAATTACACAAATGGAGGTACATTTTCGCTCAAGCATATTGTGTATGCTATTTAGGTATGTGAATCTATGTATACATTTTGTATGTCTTTCTAAAAATTCGACACGATTACGTTTACTATTTTTTCACACTACTATTGTACATAATAAATTAACTACTAAATAATGAATCGCTAAAAATAAATTATTGCCACATGCACGAGGCACACATACGTTCTCCATGTTAACCAGGATAACACTTGGTGTACATATATTTCTTATTATTTGTTCCTTTATGTATATGATTGGTATTAGTTTTTGTTATTTGATTTTGCAATTTTATTAATTAAATATTAGCTCTCGATAAAATGTTTTAGGAGAAGAAGACAAACTGTTTTTATTTTTTTGGAATTTCAGATAACTTATGTTACGTAGTTAATTATATAATATCTAAAAATTTATATAAGGCGAAAAGAGTAACAAATTTTTAAAGTTTTGGGGAAACCAATTCATTGTGTTTCGTTGTAATTGTTTATTCACCTATATAACATTTTTAGTTTTTAACTTTTTTTTGGGCATTTTTATAGTAATTATTTAAGCAGTAACAATATACTTTTGCATTTTATATAATTAAGCATATGAAACAAAACGAATTATAGCATTAGAACTGTGTAGATTTAAATTTAAATATTACCAGATTTAATTGCACTATATTGGACAAAATTGCACAAATAACTTGTAAACTATGCAATACATTATAATTTTCTTAAATTTATTTATATTCTATTCACATTACGTTGAACTGTCTTTTTCAGCTTTAATTTGCACAAAAAATTAATATTTTTACCGTATTGTTACAGAGAAGCAAAAGAGTGCTGCATGTGCACTGTTACTGGCAAATACACTTATATGTCTAATTGACACGCCTTAATTGCACCTTAAATAAACTGTTTAAGCGTTTTGCAAGCATATATACATTTAAATTAGCTTGCTTAATTTATTTACTAATTGTTTCGTTTTCAATTGACGATAAGCTTAAGCCCGCAGCTTTAAGTACTGTAAATTTTATTTTATTTTTGGAAAGAATTGTCAGTTTATATAGTTTTGAACAAGAAAAAAAAAACAAAAAATAATTGCTACAAAAATCCGCAAAATTATGCAAAAAAATACGCAACATACAAATATATAATAAAACACTTTTCACATAAAAAAAATTATAATATAAATAATTTTCTTTTGATTTTTTTTCATTTAAAATATGAATGACACAATTACAGCTAAGAAGGTGTAGAGATTCTTTAATATCAATTAAAACCAAAATACTGGCATGTTTTTATCAGATTTCTGGTACTGGAAGACACAAAGAAATAATATTAAATAAATAAAAAAGTAAACTAAAAACACTACAACAAAACTTATAACTAAAAATTATTAATCGTTTTTTTTTTACTTTATACATGCATACATATGCTGTGCCGACTTGAAGCATTTCCCAGAACTAAAATATTAACGCTAATTACTAATTTGTATGTTTGTAATTGTGATTATCATGCGGTATGTAGTTTATAAAAACAGGCATTATAGCCATATTATTGTACCACTCGTTAATACTTGGTTTATTGTTCAGCAAATTTAGCGCTACAACAGTTCTAGATAACAACAGCTCGTCTTTAAGCAATTTTTCTGCAACATATCTTGCTCGCAACTTATTATTGCACATTTTAAATATTCTTTAAGCTTTTTTCATTTTGTAGCGGGGTTATTCGGTTTATATATTTATTATTTATAATTTATATTATTTTTTATTATTGTACTGCATTTTCTAGGTAAATTTAACATTGCTATTGCTATATACCGTCTATGTTGTTATATTTTTGCTTGTGTTTGCAATTTATGTAACGCTAAAAAAATATGTGTACATTAAATAAATTTTATGAGTATTTGTGGATTTTCTTTAACATTGCTTTTTAAAATTTATGGAACATGTGGTGTACATTTTTGCATAAGTGGACTATTACACTTTAAATGCTATTATGAGACGTTCACTTAATAATCATTATTGCCTGCATACGTGTCATTTTCTTCGTCATCGAGCATTTCGAGAAATGCGCGTGGCACCAGTCCCTTCAATAAGCCCTGCTTGCCGTACATGTAATCCGGATTTACAGGTGAGCATTCGCTTACGAATATTACCTAACAAGAAGAGAAATTAAATACAAAAATACATATGTATATGCATTACAAGAATTTCGCATACCTCGTTAGCATTTAAATTCAATTCGGTGTGATCTTTTGCATCGTAAGCGCATAGGACACGTGCGCGTCGCATTTGATCAGCATTCAATAACGGATCGCCTGGGTTGCGTCTTCTAGCACCGCTGCCAGTAGCCACACCAGCGCCAGCACCACCGCCAGCATTGCCAATGCCACCAGTGACACTACCATCATTATCGTTGTACATATCGATCGGTACGTATGGGGTGGGGCCTCCCAAACTAAGCAAAATAATATATATGATAAAATGAACACGGCGACATTACGAGGATATTACGAACAACTACATGTAACGCTATTATAGGTTAAGTAATTAGAAGCTGCGTATATTAATTGGAAGAAGGTTTAGAGCTATATATAAATATACAAATAATACCTAACATTTAATATTAATTTCGCACCTTTGCTATATACATATATTATCTTAGTCAACGAAAAATTTATTAATCTGCTTCGTAATATAATTTGTGAACTATTTTATATTCAAAAAATTTTATTTTATATATAATAAATTTATAGTATTTTAATTTAATTACGAAATCAGGTTTGCGAATTTTTTATTCCAAAAATTTTGGATTAATCATTAGATTTTAAATTTTTATTTGCAATTCTGGGAAATATACCATAAATACGAAATTTCCGTTTTCTAAATTTTAATCCGATTTCGGGATTAAATTTTTATCTTTCCGTTATTTAATTAATTTCTTTTTTTTTCAATCCGGTATTTGGATTAGGAATTTAAAATTTACTTTTAATTTAGATTATCGGAATTACAAAAAAAAAAAAATTAATTCAAATGTTAATTCAATTTAAGCATTATTTGCAACCCTGTTCGAAATTTTTTTTCTCATATATTTAGATATATGAGACGAATCAGACCAGTTTTTACTACTTATATACGTATTACTTTCCTGCCAACCCCGTTAGTAATTCTCTTATATAACATATACCTTTTGTACTTGAAACCTTCTTATGTCTTTTATGTACTTAAATATTAATAACATGTGCCTTTTATAAAGATTTGAAAAATGTGTTTTATACAAATTTTTTGAAGTTTTATACTCGCAACAAATTTGTATAATTTACAGTGCATGGTAAAACAACAACAACCAGTGTGAATATATACTTTACTATTAATATAATATTTAACTATTAATTACAATTTTGATTCGAATGAGGTTTTGAGTTTTCATAATTATTTTTCTCACATATACATACATACATACATATATATATATATACATACATACATACATATATATATATATACATATATAAATATTAATCATTCAGCAATTAAACTTTTAATAGCGCGATTAGCACAGTGGCAAACTATTCGGTTTCTTTAAATCCATAATATTGCTTATATCGAAAAACACAACCTGACTAAGTATGTATATGTTTTATACTTAAGTATATACTTTCACTATCTTCTTGTCTAAACTGAAGTTATAGCACTGGTATCAAATTCAATATCATATTGTTCTAAAATTTGTGTTGTTGCAAACGGATTTGTAGTATTATTTTGATTTTGGGAACTTCCATTAGTATTTTGTTGAGTTTCATTAATGTTAACATTATTATGCTTATTAATATCGACAGTGTGAAAATTATTTAAATCATCATTATCATCGACTTCTTTAAGTTCATGTGTTTCGTTACTGTTATACGTTGCATGGATATTTGAAAGCATTACGCTGTTGGGAGGCCCATCCACATCTTCGCTGTTTATGCGTAGTCGTGGCTTTGCGGGACGTAGTCTGCAAACCAATTAAGGCTTTGTTTCACTCAATTATTACAAGTTTTATGTTAAAGTTCCATTTTACTTATGTTAGTATATAATATAAAATTTATATACATACATACATATGTATATTAAATATATGCATAATATGTGCTTTTGAAAATTGAATATATATATATTTATTTTTATGTTAAAATTAAGCGTGCTTATAAAGAACGACTAAAAACTAAGGTGCGCAAAATACTCTCATACTCTAATTAATAAAAGGTCAAAGCTTAAAATTAGCTAAAACATTGTGAACATTTAATACTTAGCGGTTTTTTTTTCAACTGCTATTTTAACTTGACTTACTTAGCCAAATCGCGTTGCAAATTGTTCATCGCATCCATGCAATGCTTGTAATAACGCACCTGTGTCTCAACAAATGCATGCAAATGTCTTAAATGAGATGCCTGCGAAGTGCTGATACCCTCAAGCAATACTTTGGTAATCTCCGACTGACGATCGAATTCCGCCTGTGCGACACGCAAGTCACGTTCGGCCTGTGTGTAGTAATATGCATTTTAAATAGGTTAGGTATTGCATAAAATGGTTAAATAATACAATAATTGTCACGCATTCATTCACTTTAAGTACCTGCTCAAGTACTGCCTCTGGGGAGACACCATCTTTCTAACAATTCCAAATTAAAGCAGCGTGCAAATATGCATATTACATTAAAAATATTAATTATGAATATAACGCTTAAATGATGAACTGTTTTTCTATGAACTTCAATAATAATCAATTATTTCATATTTTCTCAGTTAACTTTAATTCAATATTTTTATACCCTGAACATGGTATAAATTTAGTTTATAACACGAAGTTTGTAACACCCCAAAGAAAATGGCGGAATTCTATAAAATATACATATTGTCCGAGCAACGGTACAATCTCTGAAGAAATTGTTCAGATCGGACCACTATTGGCCGTAGCTCCCGTACAAACTGATTGATTAAAATCTAGTTTTATATGAAAAACTTTTGCATTTGACGAGATATCTTCACGAAATAAGGCATGTATTATTATGCAGGATAGTGGTACATTCTCTCAATTAATTGTTCACTTCGGGCATATACTATACTATAGCATATAGCTGCCATACAAACTGACCGATCACAATCAAGATAAACATATTTTCATACCCTTTTATGTTATAAGAAATGCACCTGGGAAAGGTTTTATAGCTTCGGTGCAGCTTTTTTGCTTGTTTTTTTTTTTAAGCGTTTGTGTTACTTTGTAATCCTAAAATTGGTCAAAACTGTTACTTACCGCCTGTTGTCCTAACATACTTCTTGCTTTCTTAACCCGATTTTTGCAAGCATCCAAGTCAAGACTGTAATTATTTGTTTGGATCAATCAATATGCATATATACATTAATTATCAAACTCACCGTTTAGTTTCTAATATACCACGTTCCTTCGTAATTGTTTTCATTTCACCCTCTAAGAATTTACGCAAAGGTTGAGTGAAACATATGCCAGAGGATGCAATAAAATCGCGTTCACATTGTCCTAGTTTCTGTTCGGCTTGACCAACTTTTATTAAAGCTTGACCGTATGGTAAATCTTGTCCGAAATCTCCACCGGCCTCTATCATATCTAAAGCCAAGTGCTCTAAATTGCTCAGTCGTTGTGGTTTAGTTTTTTCGATTTTTTCAAAAATAAAATCTTCTATGCGATTTTGTGGATTCGGTATTAATACTGTCTCGGTATCGCGCACTATCTTTTCTGTCCATGTCTTGGTTATATCGGCACGTTCAGCTAGATTCTGGAATTCATTATCGTACTCGGTGCGCTCTGTGGTGCCGAGTTTTTCTTCCGTTAGCTAGTGGTAAATACACACATTCGTTTATATATATTGTTAACAATCGATGTGTTGTGCATGTAGTGGGATATATTGAAAAACGGATTGGAATCAATCATATGTATGTACATCGCGATGGTTTAACGTGTCAAATGTTATAATATTTTGTATTGCTTCAATTCATCAAATTATGATTAATCGAAACAATGGTGCATTCGCAACGTGTTTTAATAAAAAAGGGTTTGCACCCACCACCCACTGACATAACAGTACACTTCAGGCTACACGTATATTTAGACATATTACCTGCACCACTCTGGACAGAGTACTCCCCGCCTCCTTCACCAGATTTTTCACATTAAAATTTGGTAAATTTATATTCATTTTTGCACTATATCGTCTTTTTGTAGATTGAGAACGTCTTTACACTAGGTTTATAATAATTTTTGAATATTTTCTAAATTCTTGTTATATTTGTTCTGTTGAACTTGGATTTTCTGGCAAAAGTTGTCCAACAGAGTACAATAAGAAAATAAAATTTTGGTGATATGCCCAAGGAAATAAATGAAAACACAGAGTTGCAATTTGTATCGTTTTTTATAGAGACTACATAAGCTTTCATTAACTTTTGCACGTATATCATATATTTTACGTTCTCTGCTTTTGCATTAATACCGCTGTCAAATTCATAATTTTTATAAATACACATATTTAATTATTTGACTTAAGCTATTTTATTTTAGGACAAATTCGTTTTTCTTTAGTTCTATAACAAATTTTGTAAATAATTGTTTAATTTCTCTTTCGATTGATATAAAAGAATATATCGACTTGAAATGTTTATTTTATCTCTAGCGAACAGCTGATTGTGATTATGATTTCTGGCGGCTTTATTAGCGTACAACACATTTTTTATAAGCGAAAAATATTTTTGTTATTCTCTAAACAGTTTGCTAATATTTGCTCTAATATATTGCAATAAATATAAAGTCACATGGAGCCGCCTCACAACCATACGTCACAAATAGATGTGACCATTTCAGGTGTAATTATAATTGATCCCTCAACATTTTCCACAAACAAAGTAGTGCATACAACTATTGAACCTCCAAATGGCAAATACAACTCAACTCCCTTGAACAAAGAGTTAAAGACTTTAACACTAAGCGCTCCACATGTTCCAACAACTGTGAAATCTTTGGAGGAATCCGTGCAGAAACCAACAAAACTGTTTTTTCCCTCACTGAGTATTGAGCAAAATAGGAAAATACAGGAAATAAGGGAAAACCTTAGAAGAAAAAATCAACTGCAGAATTATCAATCACTTACAAACCAAAACAAACAAAATGAAAAAACCCAAGTTCAATTCGCCCCTGTTTGCCCAGAAACCACACCAGTCACAACGTATATTGAATTGTAAGTATTCTGATATTATTACTTGAAGTATTAAATATGATCTTTATTTTAGCATAAATGAAGCTTTATTTGACGACGAGCAATTGGCGAAAAATCAAGATATAGAAGTGGATAATTCTGACGATGAAGTATTAGAGATTGAGGAGCAAACGCTTGAGTAATAGTTTACTTTATATTCAAGTTGTAGAATTTAAGTCTGCTACATCATATTACATTTTCAGGTATGTACTAGAAAAACCAAAAACCAACAGTGCTGCAACATACATTACAAACGGTGTGCAAACTGAGGAACCGTAAGCATAAAAAATAAATTATTAGGATTCATTAACATTTTATACTTCATCTTTAAATTTGCACAGATCGGAAGATCGAATTAATTGTGGATTCGTAAATGTTTCGAAAACTGGCGATGACAAATATTTTAATCTTCGTTGTTTTCATTGCGATGCGGAATTTCCTATATCGTTTTGGTCCGAATTTTCAGATCATGTTATCAATACTCATAGTGACTTGGAAAAAGTTTATACTGAAAACGATGCAAAATCTGTAAGCGATGCCCAGTCTCTCAACGAAGAAACAGATATTTTCAATGACGCTTTTTCAAATGATGATGCTGAAGTGCGTGAAACTCCAGGAAAAAAACTGTTTGTCAATTTAATTGATAACGATCGCGTAAATTGTCTGAGTGCAAAAGCTGACCTTAAAGAAATATTACCAGAACACTTCGACAATGGTAAGGATTGGGATAGTTGCTCTGATGTAGAACCTTATCATATGTCGGCAGAAAGTTATAAAGTCTGCTTAGAACACTGTTACAGCCGAAGCAGAATGAGAGTAAGTAGTTGTTGTTTATGTTATTATTGTAAGTAATTAATGTTGCTTCACAATAATACTAATAATTTCTGTTTAAACACTTTATACTTTTAAATATAGGATAAAAATAAATGTAATGCGAACCCTACAACAGAGCGAAAAATAATAGATCAGGTAATTAAAAACAATATCACTATACAAAATTAGTGGATAATTTCAATTCCCAACGATTGGCGAAGTAGTTTTCAAGTTATGTAGGGCACCGACTTTGAAAACGTGCGTTGCGGCGAAAGCGCGTTAAATCTTTAAAATATTATGTAAAACGTTTATAATCGGGTATACAAATAGCCATAACTTCGTCCATTTTGGTGGGATTAAATAGCCTACTATTAAATTAATATATTAATTTTACAATTTTGCAGATAAGCTTCGAAAATACCTCTCATGCCATAGTGATGGATTTTTTGGAACATTTAAAAGGATTTCCTAATTTATTGCAAGGCAACAGCAATTTAAATATCGAAAGATATATGAATGAACTGCAAGATTTGATGGCAATAATGACGGAAAAGTGGAGTCTTAATTTAAAAAAAAGTGTTTTGCGTAAAAATGTTGAAAATATTAAAGCTTGGTATATTGCTATGACCGAAGCAAAAGAAGGACGTTCGAATTTGATATTCACGGAGAAATACATTGACTACTACAGGAAATGTGCGGAGTATATGCCTTCCGGTGGTGACTTAAAAATACCACAAAAGGTGTACTGTGATATATGCAAAAAGTTCTGTTATAATGCTATTGGATTGCAAATTCATAAATATCGTAAGCACCACATGGGTCAACTGCCATATGCTTGCAATAAATGTGATAAGCGATTCGATTATATACATAAATTGCGTATACATTTACAAAGAAAACATGTGTTACCTGGATTCCTGCTTGAGACTGATGCCGTTTGCGCCGAATGTAACCAATCATTTACAGATTCACGAGATTTTCTAAAGCATTTGGAAATCCATACGAAGGGCAATTGCCGTTTTGTTTGCGATGTATGTGAATTTCGTTGTAGAACTGAAGGCATATTGAGAAACCACAAAAAGCGTCATCAAGAACGTAAAAAACTAGAAAACGTCGAAAAGACTTATGCATGTAATGAATGTCCATTTCGTTGTACGACTATTAGCCTTTTAAAAGCGCACCAAAGACGCCATCGAGAGCCCACTTTTCAATGTGAACTTTGTCCGAAACGGTTTTACTTTTCGCACCATTTAAAAACGCATATGACTACTCATAATGGTAGTTATGACTATGTTTGTGAATCATGTGGCAAACTTTTCATAAGGAAAACATATTTAATGGATCATGTGAAGTATATGCATATGGGTTATGGCCATTGTAAAATTTGCAATCGAGTTTACGGCAAGCGTTGTATATTTCTTAAACATTTACGCACACAGCATCGGCCGTTAATTGGTTCAATTGAAGAACTGACACGACGATATTGTGTTAACGAAAAAGGACAAAATGTAGGCAGGTCGAGCGGTCCACGTTTAAAATGCAGAAAGTACACATCTGTTGTGGATGCTGTTACGAACAGGCGTACACTGAAATGCCCGAAATGTGATAAATGTTACAATCAATACGATTCTTTGTACGCACATCATAAAAATGTCCATGGTACTACACTACCTGGTTATACCAGGCGGTTAACAGGAAATCAAAAGTTGATTAAAAATCGTAAGAAAACTTCTGTGAGAACTGTTAGTGTTGTGCTAGCTGATCACAACGTAGCAGAAACAGCAGCTGCTGTTAACACCATTCTCGAGAGTAACGACATAAAACCTGACATTCAAATAAGTCAAAATAACAGAAGTAATTGTAATGAATCTAATACAACTAATAGAAAAACGGCAGTTGAAAGTGCCGTTAAAGTGTTCCAGATAACACCAATGTCGTCTTTTGAAAAATTTGTTAATAAAATGCATACATTTGAGGATTTTGCTCCCGATACTGCCATCCAACCTGAAACTACTCAAAAAAGTACTCCATCGGCAACTATAAAAATCGAAAATTGTCTTATGGATTTTGAGTTTTTATTAAATAACAGCTCGGCCATAAACTTTTCATAAAAGTTAGTAAATAATTTCATGTTTAAAATTAGATTATTTGGTACTTTATGTAAATGTATGTGTAAATAATAATTTAAGTAAATTTAAAATTGTGTTTGTATGCACTTCCTTTCTTAATGGGGCACAATAATTTTTCTAATAAGTAGTGAGTATTACTCAACAATGCAGGATAAACATTGTAAAAACGTGTGTAAATATTTATAAATAATAAGATATTCTAACTTTTGTAACTTTCACCGTGATGAATATTTTTTGATTAGCTTGATTTTAAAAGAAATATGTATGTGTATATTTTAAGTTGTGTTGAAATTTGTATGTAATGTTTTTATACTTGAAGCAGTTTGGAAGATTGACGCTAAATAACAGACTTCTTGATATAAATTCGGTTCTGTTCCGATTCGTAGACTAATTATATAGGTATATATTCAAAATCATATTCAAAAAAGCCATATTTAAATATGGCAAAAACGGAATGGTACAAAACTGTACCGACAATAAAAATGGCAACTCAACAATGCAACCAACCGAAACTTCATTTACACGAGCAATGACAAAAACAAAAAGCGGCAGCACTGTCAATCTAACTAATGAAAGAGGCCTGAACGGGTGAATAACGAATGTCAACGCAAAGCGTATAGTAAACGGTGTAATAATAGAAGAAAAAGTGCAAAAATCCCAGTTTAATGCAATAGTGAACAGAAGTAGTGTGAAAATCATTTGAAATTTTATTCAAAAACTCTTTCGAATTTATTGAAAGAACTGATTTGTACGGCCTAGCTACAACAAACAAAATAAGATCAAGTTAAGAGTAACGTATTTATATAAATATTATTTGTGATAAGCGATCGCGCGTTTTTGTGTATTTGGTGCGTTTTTGTTTTTTCGGACAATGTTTTAGAATATACGTTCTCTGCCTATGCCCTTGCGATTGTATTTCATTTACTACGTGCTGATTATATGTGCAAAGTGATGAATTAAATACTAGGGAATCTATTCACTGACACTTAATTTAGTTCGAGTTGATAGTAATTGCAGTGACCGTATTTTGTGGCGATTTGGCCAACCGTTGGCCACGGATATAGTGACATTCTCGTGGTTCACTCATCTAAATAATAAAAGCCTCATATTGAAGTACTATGTTGTTGACAAAACTTCATTAAGCTTGCTATAAAGTGGATTTAAAAGCAAAATTGTGAAAAGTTTAAATATTAAATTAAAACTAACACGTCTGAAATGGATTCAAGCACAAATATTGGTAAGTAGATTGTTCTATTATATCTTCTACCATTTTCGCATTTCAAATTGAATTTTCAATTTAGCTGCTAGTTTGTTAAGCGACACATGCATTATAAAATATTATTTGAATTTGAAATCAAATATGTAATAAAAATTATAGTTATGGTAAGATAGTGTTATAATGTTGCACACCACCAATGGTTATGGTTTTGTTAAATTTTTGTGGCTTTTAACCTACTTAAAGAAACTTTGGAATTGCTGACCAGCTAAAATTGGGGTGGTCTTCAAGCAGTTCTGTCAGCCAAAGCTTTATACAAAAGTGTATATCAGCAATAACAATCATGAAAATTGCTTTAATAATTATACGCAATATTGATGCCAATATAGTTATAGATTTATTTGTACATATTAATTATTGGCCATGTTATCAATCTTTGGGAGTACTTTAACGTCATTGTATAGTAGATGGTCGACAATGCCTCCAAAATCAGAATCTCCCATATATGGGATATTTTTTGAATGAGTGCTGCCAGACAATTTATTTCTAACAATTTCTATGAACATTGAATTATTGCTTATGAAAACAAGTTTATATTACTCATTTTTGTGATATGAATATAAAACGGTTGTGAACGCATATTTAAAAAATGTTCAAATACTGGGGAATGGATTAACTAACTTGGTCGCAAATCTATATGACTAAAACGAATTAATTTGCCATAACGCATATTCGTCCTTAGAAGTGAAGAAGTGAACATGATTGATGCATATTATCGGAAACTTACAAAAATAACAAATTTTTGTAATAGATAGTTTTAAAAAAGTCGTGAGTGTAAAAGGTCTTTACGGCAAGAAAATTTAATAAATACACCAGTGTTTGATATAACAGACAGTACTATGTTCTCTTAAACTTGTGGTTTTACAACTAATGATGTTTTGATCAATGCCCTTAAAATAAAGTACAACCAGAGAATGTTAATGAATAGAGAAGGAGCAAATGTTAAATGAATAGAGAAGGAGCAAATGTTAAATGAAATCTTTTTGTGTACTAATTTGTAATTCCAGATGAGGGAACATCGAAAAATAAAACTTCGAAAAAGAAAATACACCACACAATGAGCGAATTGCTATAAATAGACACAACGAATATTCCTAAAGGAAAAATATTCATGAATATTCATTAACATTCTCTGCAATTACATTCGGGCGTTTATTCTTATTGGGTTAGACGTTATTTTTCAATACTGTCGTTCAGATGGCGCTGGAAAAATTTTTTATTTGACATTTGCTTCTGGTCGGCCCTTTTGGGGTTAGTTTTACGCAATTGACTTTTACACGGGTTATTAAGCGGCGTGAAATAATTTTCCTATATTCTTACAATATCAAAGAAAAGATTGTGTAAGTTAAGAAAACGTAAACTTTTTTGATCGTAAAAAGTATAAACAAATATATTTTTACAGTTAGCACTTTGAAGTATAATCAGCTAAGCAATGTCTGCTTTTGTTGCCGTACGTCAATCCACTGCCTTGAGTTTTGCGCTCGCTACTGTGGGTCGTTCTAATGCCACCCGTCGAGCTTTGAGCACTGGGCGTTTCATACGTTGCACAAGAGGATCAGCAGCAGCGCTTTTGCATTGCCCACAACGTTTACCCTCACTTGCTGCTGCCACTTCAACTTTCCAACATTATGTACGTACTTATGCCAATGAGAAAAGAGTATTCGAACGTACCAAACCACATTGTAATGTCGGTACAATTGGTCATGTGGATCACGGAAAAACAACCTTGACCGCTGCAATCACCACTGTATTGGCCGACAAAGAATTGGCTGAAAGCAAAAAATATAACGAAATTGATAATGCACCAGAGGAAAAAGCACGCGGCATTACTATTAATGTAGCGCATGTTGAATATCAGACGGAGTCACGGCATTATGGTCACACAGATTGTCCCGGACATGCTGATTATATCAAAAACATGATTACTGGAACAGCACAGATGGATGGTGCTATACTTGTAGTTGCTGCTACTGATGGTGCTATGCCACAGACCCGTGAGCATTTATTATTGGCTAAGCAAATTGGCATCAACCATATAGTAGTGTTTATCAATAAAGTTGATGCTGCCGATCAGGAAATGGTAGATCTAGTCGAAATGGAAATTCGTGAACTAATGACTGAGATGGGTTATGATGGTGATAATGTGCCAGTTGTAAAAGGTTCAGCATTGTGCGCTTTAGAAGGACGTAATCCGGAAATCGGCTCTGAAGCTATTATGCAGTTGTTAAAAGAAGTTGACAACTTTATTCCGACGCCAGTTCGTGAATTGGATAAACCCTTCTTGCTGCCAGTTGAAAACGTTTATTCAATACCCGGTCGTGGTACAGTCGTAACCGGACGTCTGGAACGTGGTGTAGTCAAAAAAGGCAATGACTGTGAATTTGTTGGTTACAATAAAGTTATTAAATCGACAGTAACTGGCGTAGAGATGTTCCATCAAATTCTTGATGAAGCACAGGCCGGTGATCAATTGGGCGCGCTAGTACGTGGTGTAAAACGTGACGATATCAAACGTGGTATGGTTATGTGCAAGCCTGGTTCAGTTAAAGCGCTAGATCAACTAGAAGCTCAAGTGTATATTTTAGCAAAAGAAGAAGGTGGCCGTCACAAACCATTCATGTCTTTCATTCAATTACAAATGTTTTCGCGTACATGGGATTGTGCCGTGCAAGTGCAGATACCCGATAAGGAGATGGTGATGCCTGGTGAGGACACTAAACTGATTTTACGTCTCATTCGTCCCATGGTTTTGGAACAAGGACAGCGATTCACCCTGCGTGATGGTAACTTAACACTGGGCACTGGTGTCGTAACAAAAGTATTGCCGCCACTTAGCGAGAACGAGCGTTTGTCATTGACGGAGGGTAAGAAGGCGCGCGAGAAGAAGGAGGCTGGAAAGAAATAAACTTTTTAAAATAAAAATGTTTTCTAATTATATTTAGTTTTATATATGATTACTATAACTGAAGCAGAAACGAAATGATGTAAAGAAAATTGTGACTTTTAATCTTTAAATAGAATATAAAAGTATAAGCATTATAATTCCATGCATTCAGTTGATTGTTGAATAAAAGTCGGAATAAATTCAAAATTTGTTTTTAAATGTGTCTTTTTATGGGATTTGAGGTCTTTTGTTTAAACTAGATATACATTAAATTTTAGTTACAAGTTATATTTGTTGATATATAAATTGGGATACATTAATTCTAACAAGAATATAACCAAAATCCTTAACTATTTCATGTGCAGAAGTATGGCATATATGCATATTAAATATCTTTAACAGGACTTGTCGTCAATTGGTCGTTCCATGTATACAAAATTGTGAATATTTAAAAATTCTGTCTGATTTACTAAATTCTATACACTTAAATAACTATCTCTCAGATACCCTCAATGATACTGCGCCCATGCCGGAATTGAGTTTTGAAGATCTATTGGACGATTCACCAGTTAAGAAAGCTATTGGTATAGGTGATGATCCTTTAGGGATCGAGGAAGAGCTCAGCTCTATGAAAAGTGATACACTAAATACGCCAGGACCCAAAAAACCACCACAACATGCGCAACCAGCAGTGAAACCCATATCTACAACAACAACAAATGCAGTGACGAAAATCACAACGGACAGTGGTGCTAAAGCAGCAACAACGCCAATTGTATTAAATAGCAGAAATATTTTACCAAAGTCGATAACCACCGGCAGTCAACTGGTGAAAATTTCACCGAAAATCATAGCAACAGGAACAACAACACTAGCTAAGAGCCCATCGACATCAGCGGGAGTTGTTACTGGCACGGCTACAACCGGCAAAAGGGCTATAAAAACACCAAATGGTCAAATAGTTTATATACAGAAGAAAGCAACCGGCACAGCGATTGGTGGAGGAGGGTCACTCATAACTGCTGCAGCTAACAGCACAATGGCTGGTGTTACAACTACCGCAACAGCTAATAGCAATAAAACCGTTGCTTTCAAACTCTTGCGTACTTCCGCTGGTGGTTTGGTACCAATTAAAAGCACTGCAACCATGGTAACGGCAGCCACAGGATCAACCACCTCAACAACTTCAATTGATGCAACAACTAAAAATACGCTTACATTATCGCCAACTATTGCAAAGCAATTGCAAGGAGCAGCCGGTGCTAAACGTGTCATATCCACTGCTGGCGGTCAGGTTGTCATCAAAGCCACGCCAACCGCAACAGCAGCTGTGGCGGCAACCACCAATGCGTCGTCAATGAGCAGGGCAACAACAGCAACGACAACAGCAGCAAGCACAACAACATATCGTTTACAAACGAGCGCCGCCAACACAAGTAATAGTGGTGCAACAAATCCAACTAATACCAGCAAAGGCTCACTAACGTCTGGCCACAAAATAATCGTACAATCTGCCAATGGCAAGCAAATACTAGTTTCTAACCAACAATTGATTAAGTTGTCGCCGAAACCACTCACACTTGGTGGCAACACAAATTCAACGGCATCGGCCTCCGGAAGCAGCACGATCACTGGTACGACAACAAGCAACTCCAACGCTGCACGCCAACTGCAGACTATACAGCTGCCTGGCAAACAAGTACAATACTTGCGTGTGTTGCCGAAGAGCAATGCCGACAATAGCGGCAATATAGTGTCGTCTACGACAGCAGCAACATTGACGAGTAGTGCGTCAGCGGTGAGCAGCACGCAAAGTAGTAGTACGGCAACTTCGACGTTCAGGATACTAAATGCCAGCGGTGTGCCGTCCAAGTTCACCGTGGTACGTCCCAGTCCGACGGGCTCTACGAAACTGATACTAACGCAGTCGCCAAAGAAGGAGAGTGGTGTGCCGGTAACATTCTCGCCAATTACTTCGAAAGTGGTAAGTGTTTGTGCGAGAAAGCTGGTCCAAACAAATATATTTGTATACCGGTAAATTTGCTTAAATTCATAATCTGTAATCTTTTTTTTCAGCAAAAAACCATAGTGACAGTGCCGAATTTACGTGCCTTGGGCGATGGCCAACGCAGTCAAAGCGTCACCTCCACCACCAACAGCTCCACAGCCAATGTCATATCATCCACTACTGCGCAGTTAATCAATACCAACGCCGGTCAATCGTTGATCAAAAACAATGCTAATACGAGTAGTGCTACTTCTGGCACCACAACGCTAATACGTAAACATAAAATATCCGAAATCAATTCGGAGCTCAAGCGCATAACAACTGTGACAGCGGCCGCTGAGGTGGAGGATGACAGTGTAGATATGGATGCACCGCCCGAGGCGAAAAGGCTAGCAACCGGCAGTCATATATTTATGTTGCCGCATTCAATGTTGCGCACCACAGCCGGTGGACAAGTGCGTCAGGTTACGTTACAGTCGAATGCTGGCATAGCTGGTGAGCCTAAAAACGGTGGTGGTCAATCACCAACGCGCAAAATACCGCAACAACAAATGCAGAGTATACTCAAGAGCAATAATAATTTTGTGTCGTCAGAGTCCTCAGGACAGAAATCATTATTAATTAATGGCAAGACGCAGGCGCTGATTGCACAGCAACAACAACAACATAAAACGTTGCAACTAAAGCGGCAATTTCAACAACAGCAGCAACAAAAGTTGTTACAACAAAAGAAACTGGAGCAACTAGAACAAAAGAGTGACAACACAAAATTAGTAACGCTGACGAGAAGCGGGGCGGCGACAAGTAGTAGTAGCAACGACAGCGCCACCAACAGCAACAGCAATCACAATGCTAATAGCGCGCTATTGAATTTTAAAATCAAACTGGAACCTCCGGAAGACAAACAAGACGGCAGTCCAGTAGATTTGTTGCCGGATGCGGCGAATGGCGGCATACGGCGAAAACATTGCAACTGCAGCAAATCACAATGTTTGAAATTGTATTGCGACTGCTTTGCCAACGGTGAATTCTGTCAAGATTGTACGTGCAAAGATTGCTTCAATAATCTACAGTATGAAGATCAACGGCAGCGTGCAATCAAAAATTGTCTTGAGCGAAATCCCAGTGCATTCAAGTGAGTACATAATAGTTTTTTTTTTATATTTGTAGTCATTCATAACCTAAATAATTTCATTCTATGCACATAAATTAAACAAATTTTAATATTTGCTTTATAAAAAAAATTAAAAAACTATATATATATATATATTATATATATTACTAGAATTATTTAAGACTAAACAATATATGCATGTAAACATTATTTACTAAAGAAAATGAGAATTAAAAAAAGCAAAAAATAAAACTAATTTCATTAAAGTTATGTGCAAACAAAAGTGCTTTATTTGACTTATGTAATCCAAAACCTTTTTTTACCATATGTTCATTAACATTTTTCATGACTATCATAACCTAAACAATCCAAATAACGAAAAGCATAAATTAAAAAATATATATAATATATACCCCATAGTCATCTTGTTTCCACTAACTCCTTTCTTTACACCCTTATAAAATTTTTGATACACATAACCTCTAAATCTGTTATTTTTTGTTGTTAAAAGTTAAGAATAATCAACATTTTTTGCTTACAATAAAATACCTAAAAATAAGTTAAAATAAAAATTTAAAGATATAAATTACCAGAAAAAAATAATACAAATGTACAGTAAACAAGTACAGTTGCGTTAATGCCTTTCATGCCTCATCCTGTTTTCCCTAACCCTTTACTTTAGACTCTTATAAAAATTTTGTTACACATAACCTCTAAATCCATCATTCAGGTGTTATTTTTTTTTTGTTGTTTTTGTGTACTGTGTTAATTTTGCTCACAGTGTGTTTATTGTGCTTACTTACTTGTTTGAATTAAAATTTTTGAAATTTTGCTACTATCAAGTAGGCGTTGACAAGTTCGAATGCGCATAAAGAAATCATAGAAAATCCAGCGCGAAAATTGTTTTTCGTTTTAATTTTGCATGTTTTGGGTTTGGTGTGAAACATTGAGGATAAAATCGTTTCATAATTTTTGCATGAACGTTTCCATGTGTTAAATATTCATACTCAACGTAATCACAAATATAATTGTACGAAATATCAATTGTAACATATCCTTAGACCAAAAATAACCACCTCACGCGAACAAGGCGACATGCGTCACAACAAAGGCTGCAACTGCAAACGCTCCGGCTGTCTGAAGAACTATTGCGAATGCTATGAGGCGAAAATACCCTGTTCGTCCAACTGCAAATGTGTCGGTAAGTTTTTAAAACACAATATTTAAACCTACAATAACTTATTTGCGTTAATTGTTCACTACAAAACTATAATATATGATATGCTTATAGGTTGTCGAAACATCGAAGAACGTCCCGATTTGGACATGGATCCGATAGATCCGAAACTTTTAGCAAGCATTGCGAGTGTGTCGCTACCAACGGCCAGTCAGAAACGCGCCTACGACAAGACCAATACCAAAACGTCTAGTCTTGGCAATGATAAACTTTATAAAGATACCGCTAAAGCTTTAGCTATGGGCAACGATTTGATAGCGGGACTCGCTGGCGGTAGCAACAGTATTGCTGGCGGCAGTACTTGTAGCGGCAGCAATGGCACTACTGGCGTTGCTGGCACAGCGTCCGAAAAGCAACAATGCAATTTTATTACACAGGAAGTGGTGGATGCCACCATACAATGCATGATCTCGCAGGCGGATGAATGTGAAAAGAATGGCTTACCCGCATATCAAACTGAAAAGATGGTTATGGAGGAGATGGGACGTTGTTTGGTCGAAATAATCGATTTCTCCATACGCAACACTGATAGCAGTTTTACACAAGACTAAGCAGGCGTCTGGTGTTACCGTTAAATTGTTAATATTCGCAGGCATGCAAATTTGTATAGCAATATAGCGTGCCCCTTAGTTTTCTTAATAACAATACAAACATAACAAAAATATATAGCTATAAAATAAAAAATATAAACAAAAATTTATGCAAAACCAAAAAAAAAAAGGTTGAAATAAAGTCGTAACAATCAGCAGCTTCTTTGTAAATAGTGAATAACGCCGCTTTCTTCGTTTTTCATACTTCTACTAAACAAACGCTCATGCTAAGCGACAAGTAGTGTTAAGCGGGTTTGTTCATAAACAATTTTAGTACATTTATAAATAGCAAAAAGTTACTTGGCATAAGCGATAAATCTTTTGGGCAGCGCATACGGCTCGTGCATGTTTCATTTAAAATTACTTACATATATTCGTATCTCGTATAAGCGATTTTTTCGACTATTCAAAATGGTGGTTAAGAAAATAAAGTTTTTCTTTATTTATTTTGCATTAAGTTATAAAGTTTAACACAGTTTTTGCGCTTACACATTTTTTGTTTTATTTTTGCATAAGTTTTCGGCTTTTTTGAAAAGCCACAAACAATTTTTTGCTACCTTTTAAATTACTTTTAATGTATTTTTTATTTATGTTTAAGTCTAACTTATAACGCTATATATATATATATATATATGTATATATGTATGTATATATCTTCTACAACGGTTATTATTAAAATGGTTGTTACTTTTTACTAGCATAAAAGCGAAGAAAGCAAATGTTAGGCGTTCTTTTTTATGAGTTATGCGCGCATATATTTTTTACATATATATTTGTTTATATTTAGTTTATACACCTACTACCTATACGATTAAAAAACACCATTAACACCAAAAGGTATAGTAAGAAGGATTTATAAATATGTATATACATATACATATGCATAGTAAATGAAACAAAACAAAAAAAAATCAGCTTTTATGTAACAAATTCAAAATTTGACGTCTACTCCAAAGGTAAATAATGTAACTTCAAGACGCGAATGTAGTTATATTAGCTTTTAAGTACTACAATTGTATAACTTGACCCATTGTAAATAAAGGCTACTAATTTGAAAAATATAATAAAAGGCATGTTTAATTATATGCTAGTTATTTGGTTAATTCCACAGTTGTTTGTAGAAATGTAGAGATGTGTGTGCATAAACGCGAGCTAGCCCCTCAGTTTTTGAGATATCGTTCCGCATTTTTATACACTCTCTGTACTCCGCAAGCAGCGCAGCTAATTTGTCGGAATCGCCGATATCAGACCACTATTGCATATAGCTGCCACATAAACAGTTCGATCAAAATAGAGTTCTTGTATGGAAAATTATTATTTGACAAGATATCTTCACGAAATTTGACATAGTTGATTGCCTTAGGCAGCCCTACAACCTTTGAAGATATTGTTGAGATCGCACTACTATAGCATATGGCTGCCATATAAACTGAATGCACAAACTAAAGTTAAAAATCTTTTTATACCCATTTAGGTTGTAAGAAATGCCGCTTAATCAACTTTAAATAATCGCCACTTACTGTTGTACAGTGTAATAATTACCAATCGTAGACGTATGTTACTTACCGCTGTACTTGTTACATAATTAATTATGTCACATTAAATAAAAAGAAGTATGCTGTTGAGTGGGTGTAGCTCGTTTATTCACCAACAACTTGAATTTATCTGTATCTGCAAGTTCTTCGTATTGTTATAAATTTCAATCATAATCATAATAATATATGTAACATATACCACATTGTTTTTAATACTGCATGTCCTTAAATACGTATTTATGTAACTATAAATAGTTTTTGTTTTTCATCACTTATACAAGACAAGTACCACTATTTATATTTATTGTACATTTATGTAGGATAAATGTTGCATTTTAGTTTTATTATTGTTTTAATAATATTTTGTATTGTTATATTTTTTATAATTTTGTTTTTTATTAAATTTTTGTGTATAGTATGTATGTATAACATTTGTTGTCAAATGTGGTTATGTATTTAATTTATTTTACTTGATATACTCTACAAATACGACAAACTGGTTTCTCTCATAGTAATAAATAAATATAATATGCATGCATGTTGTTTTTTCGCACCGCTTTTTGCCACATGAATGCAAGCGTTATTATAATACATGTACTTGTATATAAATTTTTTATTTTAACTTTTACAAAGTAACTTTTCATATGTAATATACAGATATTTATTTAAATGTTTATTTGTTTAAATTTTTTATTACCATACTAATTTGAAAACTGCAATTTGGTTACTTATTGTAATTATTTTAATTTTAGCAAGTATTTTTTCTAACTTTTGACTCTTATGCTCAACGCTAAACTTTATGAAAACTTGTCTAATAAGCATTTTATATTTTTATAATTTATTTATTTATTTTTAATATAGTATTTGCTAGCGAAAAATGCAACTCTGCAAATTATGTAATATAAGTTTTTCCTGTATTTAGTTTAATTTTTCCAAAATTTATTTTTCTTTTATAAAATATGAATTTTTGTAGGTCACAAAGAGCTTTCAATAAATATTAGTAGTTTTATTTTTTGGTTTTGTTCAGCAATTTATGCCTTTCTAATACTCGTAAATACTCTTGTAGTTTTTATAATTTTTATACATATGTATCAACATGTTGTGTAAATACTTTTAAATATTTTTCGTCTTCTAATCCTTTTACGTCTGAACGCTATCGTTAATCAAGCACAAAATCTGTGCTGCCACTTTTTATTTATTTGTTTGCGTATATATTAATATTTAAGTATATATTTTTGCACAAATGTGCATAATTTATGTTCATCTGTACTATATGTATATCTACTTGTCAAAGCATTTATTTAAGTTAGGTTATGTTGAATTTTAAATTTTATACAGTGTTTGACCCCATACCAGCTTTTTATTAGTTGCGCTTAGTAACATTCAATTTAAATTTTAGACAATAAATATATAGTATTTTTGTAGCTGTAAATTTAGTGACATCAATTGATATTTTGGTAACAGTAGATAGTAGTAATTTATTGTTTTTTATTTAAAGAATATATATTACTGTGGGTGGTTATTTAGAACATGTATATTTTTAGACACAATGACACAAACACATGCAATTTATATTTTATATTATTTTTTAGGCATATTTATTTTTATTAATTTCTATATAATTTTTGAAAAATTGTTTTTTTTTTGTAATATGGTTTTCATCTACACATTCTTGCCACTTGCACTTAAATTTTGTAGTATTTTAAGCTTTTCTTAATTAACTTTCTCTTTGTCGTGCCTCATTTTCCTCGCTTTGCCAACAAATACATTTATTTTTATAGGTTATGTCTGTCTACATAAAAATGTCGAAATTTACAGTTGCAACTAGTATTTTTGCCAATATATTGTCTAACTCACACAAAAAGTATGCGTAAACGGTACATTAAACCGTTATATGTATTACTTTCAAAAAATACGAACTTCTGCATATAAGATGTGATAAATCCTAAGTTAAATATATTAATTTTCACAATTTTAGTTTATTTTTTTTACAATAAGTGTAAGCTTGCCTTTGCCTATATTTTGAAATATTTCTCGAATACCATATAACTTGAAATACATATATTTATATTATTATTTTTTGTTTACTAGACTTGCATGTACCTGTACTTCTCATATGCTTTATATATATTTGAAATTGTATGTGTTACCCTGTACAAAGCTTTTGATTTAAAGTTTTGCAACTATAAATTTATATGAATCGGAAATATTATTGTTTATAACATTATTATTTTATTGAATACTCGTATTTACTGTGTAAACTATTACTTTGCATATTTTAGGCTGTAATTTTTCGTTTTGTGCTTTTTCAAATTTAAATTTTTGTCCCTGTTAACAACTGTTACATTTCCGTTTTGTATAATCAATAAATTGATTGCATCTGGCAATTCTTAGTTGCTTGAAAATTTATAGTGCGGTTCATAGCAGTTTGCTGCAACAAGCATGATTCGTGCGTTTTTCTCTGTGTTTGCTGTAATTATTTTACGTTTTTTGTTTTATATTTTTCGCGTTCAATATACGCGCATGAAAATCTCAAAAGAACAATAATCTATTGATAAAATAAAAAACACTTCACACACATCTAACTATTTACTACATATTCAATCGCCAAGCATTTCAGTTATGCTTTATGTACAGTGCAATTTTTCTCAAATTCGTATAACTGCGTGTATGCTTGTGATTGACTACATAATGTTTGCTTTTTAACTTTCCAACGCTGACGCCGTGTTTGCACAACGTGCCTAATTTATACAGTGCAAAATTTTTTTCTTTAAAACTATTTTTTTTTTGTCAAAATACTCTATTGTTACTTTGCAGTATGCATAGAAACAGTTATACCTATATACTTTTATTCGGTTATAGTCGGTTAATGAAATATTTATCATAATATTTTGCAAATATTTTACCGGCGTTTAAGCGCACACACATATTGATAACGGTAAACGTTTTTACTATCTTTATTTATTGCATTTAATACGATTTTAGTTTGCAAAGAACAACTTAAACTTTTGCCTTATCTACAAATATCCAACATATTTTAATATTTAAATAGTTTTAGTTCAAAATGTGCACAAAAATTGTTTAACGGTTTCAAGTAAATATACTTTTCTTTGTTGGTGCGCCGTAATAATTATAAAAAAACTGTAAATATGTGAGCAAAGCATAACAGTTACAAAAAAAATTTTCAATCAAAAGTTAAATTTGAATTAATAAAATAAAAATTTATTATAAAGTATATTTTTGATAACAAAAATTTTTTCTGAATGAATTGATTTTATAAAAATATTTTTAAATATTTAAATCTTTAAATATTAAAAATTTTCTTGTTTAATTTTGAAACATTTTAAAAATTGTAAATAAGTTAAAATAATATATATGTACATTACAAAATAAATAATATAATTAAAAACAATATTTTTTTGAATTTCTACATGTTTTTTTTTATTAAAAAATATACTTTAGTGAACAAAAATTTTGTTTTTGAATGATTTAATAAAAATGTTTTTAAATATTTAAATTTTTTTAAATTAAAATTTTTGTAAAGAAACCCTTTTATTCAACATTTCTTTTAAATTGTCTAAAACTGCCTAATAATTGTAAATTAGCCAGCAAAATAATTAGTAACTCATCTTATTATAGTTTTTTCACCCAGAACGTTCCCAACTTAAATTAGTGTTGAATTATATTTAACCGTAAAAATTTTAAATTAATTTTTGTGGAAAAATGCTGCCACAGAGACGAAAAAACAAACGTTTGTGTAGACCTTTCATGATTTAAATCGTTACATTTACAATAAATGTATTTAATAACTAAGAACACAACAATGTTGCATGTTAGTGCACGTTCTAACTTGAAATTAGTGATAGTGCTTACTTCTTTTAAAGTTTTTTAAAAAATGTCTCTCAAAACTGTGATGAGTTACGTTTAAAATTTGCCCTCTTTGCTATATATAGTACATATTATATAAGACATATAAGTAACTATAACTAAACTATAAATTCTAGCGCCAAACCAGCAAAGTCAACACGCTGATCTACATTTTTCATGGTGAGTTTTTATTGAATTTTTTTTTTTTATATATTTTTTATTATATTTTAAAAATATAAAAGATAATATAAAAATGAAATAAAATATATTAATTTTCAATTGCAATTTTTTTATAATTACTGCAGCTCATTTAATAAATTCCGGTTTTACATTCTTAATTGTAGAACAACGCGTAGAAAGACTTGCAGCCATTCAAGCCTTTCGCGATACACACAATTTTTTGGCCAATCGCCGTTGAAATGACAAAAAACAATAAAAGTATATATTTTTTAGATTTTTTCAGTGATTTGTAGGAACTCAGTTCAATTTAGAAAGAGAAACAAATATTTTTTTGTTAATAAAGATTCATGAATTAATTCATTTCTCAGAATTTTTCGATGCCGACTTGTCATATTTTCGGTCAGTATAAGCACTAGCATTTCAACTTTTTCATAAATATTTCTAAAATTTGAACTGAGTTCTTACAGTCCAACTCTGGAACAAACAAATATTACAATTTGTGCGCACATACTGCATATGTTACAAGTAGGTAAAAATTATAGCTTGTATGTAGATGGAGAGTATTTATATGTAAGATTTTTTACTTCTAAAGCTCATAACACTTTCTACTACTATTCTACTACTTATTTTAAATATGCATACTTAATATATTTTGCATTTGAATAGTTATAAATACATTAAACATTTAATTTTCTTGCGTTAAATATTGTTTGCTACTTTATCATACTTTTTATATACTACGAATTCCCTTTTTTGTGTCAGATAACTTGTGTGCTGTTCGCTAATTTTTACAAATATATTTGCTATATCATATATTATATAATAGTGCGTTAATACATACAGTGATATAATACATAGATGAAACGTTTGATTTATTAATTTTACATTACAATGACGAGTTTGCGAAGCTGTCAAAAAATGTGTCAAATTTGGGGACAGAAATGTCAAATCAGCAATTAAACTGTACGTCAAAACTAGGGCTAATGCATCAGCGTTGACTTTTGTACACATTTTGCTTTTAAAAAGTTGTACTTTTAAGCTTTTGTAGCACGATTTAGAGGCTACTTAATTTTGGAAATATGCTAAATTTGCAACCCTGGGTCAATTCATTGCATATCTGGCATATTTCCATTTAAGCGAATATTGTTAGAAAGTTGTTTTTTTTGCTGTTTCATGAATTGCTTATTTGAATTGTATATTGTTTTTATATATTTTTGATTTCAAAACACTAAGTTTGCCATGAAAATTAAATTCATTTTGATATCCTTGCAAATCAAAAATGTCTCCTTTTTTTAAGATTTATGAATTAGTAGATATATTTTGTTTCAAAATTATTGGTGGAAAAGCGTATTGCAGCGTTTGACATTTTCAAAAAACATTTAGCGTTAAAGGTAATTTGAGTAAAACCAACGAAAAGTGCTCGCGAATAAATTTTTTAAAACAAGTAAGCTTTATTAGACACTACTTGCGCTAATTGCTGAGATTTTTTCGTACCCAAAAGACTGTTAAAACTGTGTTAGCTTCTAACAAAAACTTTACTTTCTTTAAATTACAACAAAGCAAGCAATAATAGCGATTTGTAAAATACGAATAACTTCAAATATAACAGAATTGGTGGTTTTAGTTTTTCCCTAAGTACCACTACCACTTCCACTTAGCTAAACACTAAGCTTTTAACTGTTGAACAGTATTGAGTAAACTTCTGAGCTTAGAGACATAAAATATGGTATAGAGATTCATAGATTCAACTGCCGAAATCTTGCAGAAAAATTTTAATTGAGTAGCTAGCAGAAGTTAGTATACGAAGCCCAAGCTTTTAAGTTTTAATAATTCTTTAGCCATTCGAGCTTTTAAGCTTTATGGACATTTAAGCTTTGGGAAAACAGTTTTGTTTTAAACATATTTACAGCGCTTGTTTTAACTGTTTTGTAGATATACCTGCCTCTACCATTTTTTAATTCTTGTATAGCTTTTAATTTTTTGAAATTCGTAGCTTTCAAAATGTTTTAGTGAATTTTCGCGCTTTTTGCAACACTTTTTGGTTTTTTTGTTTCATTCTTTTTTGTTTTTAAGCGAATCACATTCTCTGCAAAACGCTAAAAAAATTTAGTTTTGTCAAAATTTTTTTTTTCAGCAATGCTCTGTAGGTATGCCAATTGTTTAGAATAAAATTTTAATATAAAATTATTAAATTTATGAAATTTTGAAATTTTCAATTTGAATTTTTGAAATTTAAAATTGTTGGAATTACTTTTGAAAACAAATGAATTTATAATTTTGATGCAAATTCACAGTGTTGCCATGATTTGATTTTTGTTGATTTATCAATAATTTGGTATTTGTTATTAAGGCAAAATAGTGTCTAAGGCTTCTTGTGTAACATTTTGACCGACTTCCGAATTGAAAAAGGCATATTTTCTTATTTCCATTTATAGTTTTACCGATTTCTGTCGAAAAATTTTGCAATTTTTTGTTTGTTTTGAATTTAAGGTTACAGCTTAACAAACTCGTCATATTATCAACTACATAAATATTTGCCTTTTGCCTAGTAACGCTTAAGCAAAAAAAAAAACATATTTAAAACGCTTTTTTTTAAATTTAAATTATATTATTTGACATTTAGTAAACTTTTTTCAAAGCTTTTAAATCTGCTAATTTTTTAAGATTTAATTTTTATATAATTTTAAATTTTTTATTTTTAATTTTTATATATTTTTATTTTCTATATTTTCTATATTGCTACAACAATTATTTTAATATTAACTAGCATGCATAGTTTGAATTGATTCAATTAAAGAAGGTTTTCCGATGCAAAAAGTTCCGTTTAACTATTTCTTTACTTACATTTTGTTAGTTAGTAATGCTTAGATCTTCTAACAGTGAACGTAAAACGTTCTTAACGGAACTTACGCAAACGCGCGTCTTTGCTTCAGTGCCACTTGACATTTCACTCAAATTTGTTTTGCGATTTAATCGTGTGATTTCGAAAAGTCACATACAATTGAAAGCGTATGAGGAAAATGAGTTTACGAATACGATACACTCACACATTTAAAATAGAATCCAAATGTCTATCTCGGCGCATTTATATACATGAAACTCTAATGATTTGTGAAAAAGCATTTTGGCTGTAAATAACGTTAGATTGATTTGATTTTATAAATTTAGAACGATTGCACAACAGCAGCAAAAGCAGCAGCAAGAGCCGCAACAGCCGCAAGCAGCAGCCAACCAAATAGCCGCAGCAATAATGTTGCTAGTGAAACAACTTTTAACTAAATTCAACGAGCACTTTCCCAAGTTTGTTTTGAAAAATTACTCGTATATTTTCTTTGCTATTTTGATAGTTTCCCAAGCAAAAGGAAAAAATCCACAAAATTTTTCAAAAAAACTCGTCCTTTAAATTAGCAATGAATTATAATCGTCGCAGGAACATATGTAAGAAAACAAATTCATTTGAATTCATTTCGTTTTTCTCATAATTGCTAATCAAAACTTTTGTTTTAATATTACGCGTGCTAAATTTTTGGCTCTACAATAAACAACAAATAATGCGCTACAACTTGTAAACAACAATAATTAATGCAATTGCACAGTTACTTTGGGCGATTTTAATCAATATCCAAATCCAACACATCAAATTAAAGCTCAACACAACCGACGCCAAAATTCAGATCCCTTCGAACGTGATCCCTTCAAAATCCAATCGTACAATTTCCGTTACGCCGAGCGTCCCTCATATCCACTACCGAATTTGTACAATAATCGTGTACATTCATCGCCATCAACGTCGAACAAACGGTTTGAGACATTCTTCTACAATTATGACTTCACTCCTTCTGTCCATGACAAAGAGAATCCTCCAACAAACAAATTTCGCGAATTTCGTCGACGAAAATTCCTTTTGGATCACCAACCGCAAAATCCAACAACAGCAGGTCAACTCGCTGCGACAGCAAATAAGCGAGAGTCGACGACATTGCAACAAACCCATATGTATCAACAATTGCACCCCATCGCCAATGCAACAGTCTATGGCCGTGTCGGCACAAGCGCCAGTCAAACAGGCATTGCGTCGGCCGCTAGAACAGCTGCAGCAGCAGCGGCCACAACAACAGCAAATGCCGCTGGACGGACGAGTCAATTGCGTGTCGGATATGACCGTTTGCGCGGCGGCAACATCGACAGCCATGGCGGCGGCGGCGCTCGACATTACCAAACATTTTGTAGTGCCACAGATTCAAGCAGCATCGGCACAGCTGCCGGACTGCGTTATGGGCGTGACAATATTAGCACCTCATCGCACATGTCCGGTCACAACAAATACGCTCGTAAAGCGAATGCGCGCTCTACTGGGAACCGAGAATATTTGCGTGCGCTCGCCACAGCCCACATTAACGAGTCGGCCAACCAGCCAAACTACCTTGGTCGGGGGCGTTGCAACAGCCGCACGTCACTTGAACGCGGCCGGCGGCCACGTGTTGAATCCATGGGTAGCGGGAACGGGTTTGCGCAAGCTAACAGCAGCACCCTTGACGCCAGTCAAGGCAATGCGAAGACCGCTGGCTTTCGCGAATTGTCAAGCGCAGGAACGTCGCCATCGAAATATGTTCGGCAGCCCATACAGGTCGTACACTCAGCTTCCCCGAATCGGGTAACTGCAACGGTAGAGAAGACTGAGGGCGCTTGTTCTGGCTGTCAGATAAATATCAATATAAAAGGTTTGGATTCTACACAATTGGGCGATAATGTCGTAATTAAAATTGAGTCCGACAAACTGACACCCAGTAAAACGAATACGAAAACAGAACATGCACCAGTCGTCAGTACGTTAAATAATATTTACAACGGTACCGGTTGTATGCAACGTAATGATATCGCCATCGCAAAGTTGGTGGAAATTAAACGCAATTCCGAAATGAATCATAATCTCGATATAAAGCCGAAAGCAGCTGCACATCAACCCAAAGCAACAATGCGTAATACTTCATCCTCATCATTTGTAATCGATAAACGTCTGTCTAAGTTTGCAGTGAACTCAACGGATGAACGCGAACAGCGCAAGCACAAGCCACGTAGCTCCTCACATTCCCGCATACCGCTGTCATCATCAACCGCACGCGCACTGGGTTTTACCAGTTCCAACACTGTACTACGCAATTCGAATAGCACCGAAGTAATTCAACGCGTGCCGAGAAGTGTCTCGAAAGAACGTATGCCGAGCATGGTACCCTGGTGTTTAGATACCACACTACGCCATGGATTTTCACACGGCGAAGACGATGCGAAACCATTGCTTACACAGCAGTCACCAGTGCTGAAGCCTTCAAGACCCTCGTATGATGCAACACTCAATGATGTGCGCAAAATGCGTCGTCAAGCGGTTGTTGCCGCATACAAGCCGTTTTCGCTACAACGCACTTCCATGGGTCATAGCAAACCCGGCAGCACAACGATCAGCAATGAGACGAGCAAGTTGTTGGAGAAATCACAACAATATAAGAAGTCGGCTGGCACCGTTTCGTCAAATTTCAATGCCGACAGCGTGCAACATCGTCAATCACATCACTCGCTACGTGGTACAAAAGTGAGCAAAAGCACTTTACGCTCGCAATCGAGCTCACAATTGGAACTTAGACGTTCGCCCACGCTGATTATGCATCGCAGCCGATCCAGCATACGACAGGCGACACAACCGTCGAGCGACAGTCAGAGTCATGTCACAACACCGCTCAATGTGAATATCAATGTCTTTGCAGACAAATTGAAATTGTTACGTGTTTGATCACGTTCACATCTTTACCAAACCGTACCAGTTCCGACCGCAAGGACGTCAAGTGAGTGAGTTGTTGTTATGGGCACGGCGTTTGAACTTTTCAAATCTGTGACGCTTGACTTCCTGGGGGAAGTGCAGAAAGATGTTGCGAATTTGAGGCGTTCAATTGCCGACACAATTCCTAGCCACTCTTTGCTCCGTAGCCGTCTTACGCGTGTCGAAAACTTATCGGCGTATCAACAACAAAATTCAATAACCGTTATGCATTAAAATGTTCCTGTTTTTGTTTACAAATTTAAAAAGTAACAAAAATTCTAAATTAAATCAAAATTCAAATACTATGAGCCTACATTTGGGATTTTGTGGCGAATTTAAATTTAATTCAATTTAAACAAAATCCTACACGCCAAGCATCTTTGTAAACGAATTTATAAGTATACAATGACAACATTATATATTTTTATATTTATTTTACAATAACCTTTAAGTTGAAACTATGAAAACAAAAAGGCTTCGAGCTAAACATGAACATAATTAATAAAACAAAATTTTTGATGGTAAACAAGTGTTCGACTCTCGTTCGTTTTTCCTGCGAGTTTCGGTTAGCGTAAAATTAGAAAGTTTGCTGATAAAAAGTAAGCTTCTGAGACGCCTGTTTAGCCATTTGCTGTTCTGACTTTTCTTAATGAAATTCACGATTAAACCACAACAATCCGGGTGATTGAACAGGGCAGACCTTCTCTACTGGGAGTAAGTAAATAGTATTTTGTTTTGCACGGTGGCGAAAAATACAAAAAAAAGGTAGAAGAAAAAAAATATAAAAGGCTAATTTACTGAATACATATTGAATACATATGAATACATATAAAATAAATTGAATTTTCAATCAATAATTATATAATAACTTTTACAATGATAAAATTTTTAATTTTATTTACTAAATAACTGCAAATTTAAAAAAATTATTATTAATATATTTTTTTATTTGTAAATAACAACAATTAAGTTTAATCAAATTAAAAAAAAAATTGATAAAAAATAAATTATTATTAATCCTTTATATTCTTTTATATTAACTTTTTTTGAATTACATAGTAAAACGAAAATCTTATAATTAAATTAAAATATATGTATGACGTTAGTTTAATTATTATTATGTTTTTTGTTATGAGGATTTAACGAAAAAATTAATATTTTTTATGATTATTAATTTATGTTCATAGCTTAATAAATTAAAAAAAAAAAATATATATATGGGTATATATTTCAATTTTTACTAACTTATTTTATATGCAATTATTTTTTTAAATTATATTTTTTAATGATTTATTTTAATAATTACCATAAATCAGCAATTATTTTTTTGTTACTAAAATTCAACTTTTGTTTTTTTCATAAATTTTTAACAATTAATTCATGTTAATTTTTTAAAATTTCATTAATTTAAATATAAATCCCATCACTTAAGCAACAAATGGTTATAATAATGTATATTTGTGTTCATAGCTTTAATTTCTTTTACATAACCTCATTTTGTATTTTTTTTGTTTATTTTTGTGGTGCATTGTCAACCAGTTGCTTTACATACATATTTATATATACATATGCAAAAAGCGCATTAGTGGCATAAACATGTTTATTTTAATCAAAATAATTTAAATAAAAAATTAACGTTTGCAATTATTGCTTCCTTGTGGCAATTAGAACATTTTTCCAAATACATATATGTTTGTAAAGGAGTATGTACATATGTATATATATGTACATATATATATGAATCTTGTTTTGAAATTTTACTTGATTAAATAACTGTAGTTATGTGTATGTAGGTGGGTTGCGATCCGTTTGTCATAGTCATATGTACTGGGAATAATTATGTATTTATGTATGCATATTAACTTTTAATATTTTTTTTTTTGTTTTTTAGGAAGCAATAATTTTTCATATGATTTTTCTGATATTTTTGGTTGTATTAAAAATGTTTGCAGTTGGTTAATTCAGATTTCCGTTAAACTTGCGTGTTTCGATTTTTTAAATTTCAAGTCATTGTGTCAAACTTTTGCATACCTTACCGATACTTACTCATCGTCGTCATAATTTTGGTACGTGACGTAACGTACGGCCGAGCTTTCGCCAGTAATCAATGACTGTGGTGGTAATAGTGTTGAAAAGGAGATAAAGAAAATTATGAAATTTAGTGAGAATGCAAATTGAAGTGCTTAAAGTGCGTATTTATAAGTGCACAGTGGGACAAAAGCGTGCAAAAGGTGCTGTGTTGAAAAAAATTAATTTAAATAAGCAAAAATTGTAATAAAGTATAATAAATTAATAAATTGTATTATAAAAAAATAAAAAAATATTTAGGTTTTAATGAAAACAAAACTTCTTTAATACAAAACTTTATTTTATTGAAAATATATTAGCATAAATCAAAGTGAAAAGCTTAAAAGTAAGAAACTAAATCCGAAAAATTTACTTTTCTACTAAATATAAAATTTCACTAAAAGTTTATATTAAAATCAGGGCGTTTAACATGTAGTAAAGACAAACTGTGCTTGTTTTTGCTAAATAATAGGTTTATAACTAATATTAAATCGTAAATTACAAAACGATTTTGAAGGAAAATAATTAATTAATAAATATTTACTAAATTTAGATGCTAAATTTATATAAAATATAGATATAAAATATAAAAAAACACACATAAAAAATATATATACATAATCGCACCAAAAACTTGGTGCTAACGCAAGTATTATACATTTTAAGAGGAACGAACTGAATGCAAGAAAAGCAATAAATTCAGTTAGAATACAATTAAACAAAAAATAGCAAAATAACAGTAATTTTGCAACTCAAAGACGTTCGCATTCAAAAGCCTCATTCGTCATGCCGTCATGCATAATAGCTGGACTCTTGGCCGTGGCCGTGAACATGACACCATTGCCAGCAGTCAAATTGCCATTCGCATTTACAGCGGCAGGCGCCGAAGCCGGTGGAGGCGCAGACGCTTCAGTATCAGCGATATCTTCGGTACCAACCTTTTTCTCCTCCTTTGTCGGTGGATTCTTGAGCAGTGTCAGCAGTGGGGCGTAAATGAAGCACAAAATCGCGATACCGACTAACATCCATTCGAAACCGATTGTTTTCACCAGAGTACCGCTCAGCGCTGGACCCACAGCGAAACCCACACAGAAAGCAACATCACCCAATGCATAAACACTGCCATAAACAGCCGAATGACGTATGTCGACGAGAAAACCAAGTTCGGGCATCATTGATGAGTCCACCATGCCGATGGCGAAACCCAAGCCAGCATTTGGTAGGATTAGATGTGTAATCGAGGTCGCCATAGGGATCTGCGAATTTGGTAACACCAGAAAATCTGGTTAAAAATCAGAAATATATGTAACAAAATTGTTTCGCTCACCATTATCAAACAGCAGCCAATGATAATCAAGCCCAAACAAGCGGCAAACCAACGTCCAATCTTGTGACCCAAAGGACCAAAGAGATTTGTGCCAATTAAATAGCTAATGGAGGCTGGCAAAAAGGCAACACCTTGCTCCCAACGCGTAGCGCCCATATTATCAACCATCCACAGCGGCAGCGATGGCTCCAACATAGCAATACCCATATTCGCGAAAGTAATAGAACCTGCAGAATGTGTGCAGAAGTGTGAAATGATATTTTGCATAAACATTTGCATAGCCGCTTAAACCTACCAGCAGCGATCAATATATACGGATCGCTGATCAGCGCCTTAAGTGATGGTGGCTCCGTTTCGGCACGTTGTATCGACGGTTGTAACATGAAAAGCTGCAGCAGGCCATCACCCAAAGCTAAAGCGGAAAGTATCAAGAATGGTGCGGATTTGCCAACGAATTCGTACATGACACCACCGAATGGCGGTCCAATAAGCACACCCAAAGCCAAGCCACCCAGCGCTACGCCCATTGCATTGCCACGTTCCTTATCGTCGGTGTAGCGATCGGCTAACATACCCATACCGGAAACGGATGAGCATGAAGAGCCGATGCCCTGTAGTGCACGCGCCACAAATAACACCAAATACGAGCGTCCAAAAGCGAAGACTAAGTGAATAAAATGAGGATTTTAAGAAAGCTTTACAAAATGTGAAGCTTGGCACTAGCAATATTTGCGTGTACTTACTAATTGTCGATATAAACATGATCACAAAGCCGGCAAACATGGGTATGCTGTAACCGATTCTGTTTAAAAAGTTGCATAAAGATAATTAGATGAGTAGCATAAATGAGAAAATATATAAAATAATACTGTGAAAAGCTTTATAACTTCAGTCGCCCAGTTTTCGAGTTTATCTGTGCATAATGACTTTACTTGGGTACGCCGCACCATGTTCAGGTGGATCACAATCGTTTATTTACTTACTTATGCGTCAATGGTCCAACAATTGGGTTGACCAACAATTGTACGAAAGCTTTTGATGCAAATAGGAGTCCCACTTCAACCGTCTCGCCCACCAATTCCTTGTGCCGCTCTTCCATCTCTCGCCACATGGTGTAATTCTCTGAAAAGTAGTATTAAAATAATGAGCGCTATATGAAGAGCTAGACCACCCTTAAATGTCATCTAAGACCCAAGAAGTCCAAGTGGTACAAAGGTGTATTTTAACGCGGTTTATAATTTTCAAATTTGTTAAACAATATATTGTCCGTACAGGTTTTTGCATTAATGCTACTAGAGAGTACTGATGAAAGATATCTGTTAACTTATTGGAGGTCTAACTCCAAGTTTATTAGCAAATTGCGCCTGAATTTTCAATGTTTCTCCTGTAGAGTAACCAGTGGAACCAGTTATATAGCTGAACATGTATCCTACAGTTTAACTTTCTTTAAACGTGTGTGCTTTTAGTATGAATTTCAAGCTGTTACAGACTTCAGGAGGGCTTGTATTTTTTCGAACTCTGGCATGTCCGAAAACCTTGCAAGTTCCGGTTTAATCTTGTTTACTGAACGCTTAGAGCTTCATCAATTCATATTTGCAAATAATATTTTATACTTTCATTATTGGCTTACCTTCCGGACTCAGTGTTGATACCTCCATCGTCGGCAGTGGTTCGCCATTCGCGTTGCAGGGTGATTGCGTAGGCGGCGGTGGTGTGTGCGTAGTGAGTGGGGTACGTGGGAAGCTGTCGAGCGGTGCATCAGGATGGCGTATGTCGTACAGGAACTCGGGTATTATAGGAACTGTAAGTGAGAAAAACGTAAAAGAAGAATGAGAAAAAGTGTTGAATGTTGACAGGATGTTGTCAATTAAGTTAATATTGCATGTCTTTGTTGTTGCTGCACGTGTATATTTCAACAATTTACAAACAATTAAGCGACACAACTAAAAAGTTAGTAGAACGTTGATGGCTTTTAATGGGGTTAAAAACAGTTAATGGGCACCGTAAATTGTGTAGACAAGTTGTAAATAAATTGCAGTGCTTTTGCCACTGAGCATTTTTATTTTTATTTTTTTCCAACTGCTTGAGGTGACCAAGCCACCGTGCTTGTTGGGTATTGTTTTGTATGTGCGACCACTTCACGGCCTTGCGTAGACGAAAGCAATTTGAAAGTGTAGAAATTTAATTAGGCTAGGCACACAGTGGTTGAGGTTGAGGTTGGTGCACGTCTCTAAGTGCAGTTAATTGCTTTCAGTGATGTTGTGGCAATGCTTTCGAAAAGTTGAAGTAACATAGAAGTTACAAATAATTCAGAGGAAAAATAGATTTTGGAACTATTTTTATAAATGTAATTTGAGTAATGACACTATCTTCCGTAAACATGTTTATTAAATGCTGTGACCTTAGTATTATCCGAACCTTATACGAGATTTTACTTATTCAATAAATACCCCTAAAACTGCTCAGTCAAGATATTCTTCATTCTTACTGTTTCCACCTTGTTTTCTTGGCTCTCATCAAGCACATAATTGTTGAAACTCTAAGAACGGTTGTAAGCGACATCTATTCTTATCGCCTAGCACTCCCTCTAATGCAATTTGAATTCCAATGATCGGTATTTTTTTTCCTGGGAAGGCTCTTATCACAAACTACCAGATCTGTAAGTATTTGTAAGAGCTGTGGTATTTGCCAGAAGCTTTCAAGATATATTGTTCTCGATGATCAAGTCATATATTGACTCCCATAAAATTGCTCTTAAAGTTTTGAAACTTTTGAATAATATACCTCTTTGCTTTTGATATATTTTCATCGGGGCCTCTCGGACATGCCTTTGCTTGGAGTCTCGAACTATTAAGTACTTCCGAACTTTCCCTCATTTCAAGAATTTTTCGAACCTCGTTTTAAGCTTCAAAATATCGAGAATCAGAAATAAGAAATGAATAGCAAACTAAGATATGCCCATTAAAATCAACCGGAGTCTTCGCTTGGAGTCTCAAAAAGATCAAGAACTTCCAGAAATAAAACGTGTAGCGAACTAGTAGGGTATATCATTTAAATTCACTTAACTTGCTGCAGTCCCTTCCGTTCATCCACTGATGCACTTAGGTCCATTTAGTAAATTCCACTTTTTCATGGGTCGCCTCCATGCATAGCCATTTTGAAAGAGTTTTGTCGAAGAATAGTTCAATATGCAGTTAGCCTGAGAGCTAGTGTACCCTCAAGCTTAGGGTAAACTAAATATCAATAAAGAAACAATAATCAGTTGTGCAATCGCGCCACCTGAGCGGATCACCATAGGAATGTATATGGTATATATACATATCTAAATATCATATGTCTACAATGGCAAAGCAATATGTAAGTCGTAGGCTCACTTCAGGAAATAAAAAACCCACTGACGTGTGCAGACATCAATTGCATTTAAACAGAAAATAAACCACATTTCCGCAAGTTGGTCGTTTAGTCGACCAGACAATCATTTACACGGTTGTTGGGCAGCTGTCGACAGCGTTTGCTTGGCGTGCTTGGGGTGAGCGGCGCTTGTTGGTCGTTGGGGCGCATTCTATGTATGTACATTGCCTTGGCGCCGAAAGTGGATCGTTATAAACTTTTACGGAATTCAATTTGTTATTTAGCAGCTACTCGGCAAGCGTAGCAGTTACTCGCCTACCAACCCGTGCCCGTACATTCGACGAGTGTTTTGACGGACTTGAGCCATGCGCCGCTTACAAAGGTGCACAGACAATTCGCTGTAAATTGCAAAATAAACTTGCAACAGTGTGTATGTGTGTAGTGTGCGATGCGGTTAATTATTGCGCGTGTTGATGATGTGTTTATGCGTCGTTGTTGCTGTTGCAATTCCAGTCGGAACCCTTCCAAACCGCTAATCTTGCTTGTAATGTGTTGGCTAGTGGCAAATTGCTTTCGAGTCGGTTTATGTTATTGGTAGTAGTTGAGTTGTTTGTTATTGTATTCCGGTATTAATAAGGCGTATAAAATTGGTGTATATAATACCGAAACTTCGAAGTAATTTTGGAGTTTTGGTTGCTAAATGAAAATAGGATTTTAAATATAAATATTTTCAATTGTTGAGAAATTTTGGGTTATGTCAACTGGAAAGTCAGAAAAATCGCGTTTTTTTTGTTAATTTTGAAGACCCTTTTGATTTAAAAAAATTAAATAAAAACAATGTACTTTTACCGAATTTAATGTACTTTAATAATTGGTTACTAATTTTTCAAATTTTGGATTTTTTTGATCCCGCAGCCGTTCGCCAAGATTATTTCCGAAAAAAGCTGTCTGGCGGTGAGAAAGATTTTTCTGCTTAAAATTATCTCAAATCCAAAAACCATAAAAACTATTAATATTTTTATAGATAACTACAGGTTAACTTGTTGTCAAAAATCTTATTTATCATTACGTGATATATATATCTAAAAATATATATCATATCTCTGAAATTATTGCCGCAACAATTTCAAGTGTTCGGAGAATATTCTCAACGTTATATATCTATGTTCATTCGATAAACACAAAAAAAAATAATTTTTTAAATTCACAAGTGGTTATAAACCCTTAAACAGTGCTAGATCTAACTTACAAAAAAATTGTCTTGGAAATTTACGTAATTCACAAAACTTTGCCTACAATTAGGCGTTCTATAAAATAGTAATGTCGTTTATAGTGAAGTCGCAAACCTAATTTCAATTGATAAAATGTTTTTTTCATTTAAACTGCAATATAAATTATTTTCTAAAATTTTCAAAGTCAAATACCAATTTGTAGAAACTACTGACAATTGTTTTTTTCTATATTAACACGCTTCAGGAGCTTAGAATGTTTTCGTAACATTCGTACATCACTGTCAAGCTCATTAAAGATCTAATGTATTGTATTTTCTTGTTAGAACCTTTTATTCCATTGAAGGAACGGCATCAGGTTATGGCATCAGGTTACGGCATTCGGTTGTTCACTGGTTATTTAGCAGCGCCCACTTTCTTCCGTCGACGGAATACCTTATCGACAATTCATAATTCGAAAATTACCTGTCAATGTGTCAATATGTATGGTATATGCATGTTATTGAAAATTTCGGGATTCTGAGATTACTACACTATAGCTATGAGCCACATCACAATGTAGTATGTAAACAAATTGAACTCCTCCCAGTATTTATTGGACCGATAGATTGAAATCATAACAGGCCCACAATATGTATTACATATTTACATATGCACACAAAATAAGTTGTTAAGTAGGCACTTAAGTGCACTTGTGATAGCTGCAATTAAATTCAAATCAAACATGTTTATCGCATCTATAATATTTTATTATGAAACCACAGTTATTCGCATATTATTGTATATCCTTATTTAATCAACAAGATTATTCATTACACTAATATTGAAATTAAATATTATTCATTGCGTTGTGCGGAATATTAGAATTGGTTTTTACAAAAATTTGTCTGTCGCTGAATATATGACACGACCATAATGTATACGGGCATAACATATCATCGGGTAGATGACGATATAATATTTCAGTTGTTAATTCCAGTCAAACATGCATTATACTGTTTTGAGGAGCTAAACTCTGATAATTCTTGGAAGCAAACGCTATCTCTTAACTCTTATAAAGAGAATTCTTTTATCTACACAGTTAACGCAGTAGTTATATGAATAAGAGAAATTTGTAAATTCTATATACAAGTATGTATAACGTTTCAATATTGAAATGATTTTACTTTGAGAAAGATAAAGTCTTACGGTGTGAAATCTCACCATTTAGTTACTGAAGAATATAATCGATAAATCTTGAAATATAACTTTACATTTCTTTGACTCGGTATTAACGACAGTTCAAAATTATTCCGGACCTTAATTTCAAACAAGTAATTCTTCATTAGTATGCTTCGGCTTTTAGCGAATATTTCATCATTAGTTTCGCTAAAAAAAAGTTGCGTGGGTAAACTCGACCAATCTTTATTTTAGATCTTCCCATAACTATCATACAAGTTCGATCGAATTTGGAATAAAATGGACCCGGTGGGTAGTCTCAAGCAACTTCTATTTTAGATTTTTCCATACACCGACTATTGGGTTCTATACCGGAAATCAATTTTTAGGGTCTCTAGCTTAACTCAAAAGTTTTATCAGTCACGCTTTTTGTCTATTACTGAGTAAATATTTTTTTGAAAGTACCATAAACTCTATTTTATACACAATAATAAACGCAAGAGCTTAAGAACCGCGCATAAGTTCCATCTGCTGTACTCCACGTGGGATCGTTTAATGAGAAAAGTTGAGTAAATGAAACATCGGTGAGTTGTGTAGTATGCGCTGGGGCTCGCGTGTCAGAGACACTTTTACCACAAAATAAAAAATAACAAACGGTAACATTGCAACAGTTCGGACGGTCGCTAAGGCGTAACAAACATTGGTGCGAAACTGTGGAAATGAAAGGGAAGGGAATGCAACTAGACAAGAATCAGCAAGCCGGCAACTTAAACAGATTTGTTTAGTTACTCTACTTGGCGGCGACGGAGTTGCAAGCGTGTGTCGTTTACATTATGTTAAAGGAATGAAGGAAATGACGAAGCAGTCGAAGACGAACAGCATTTGATGTGTCACAATTTTTATGTCGACGACATTACGAGTTAGTAGTTTGTTTGATGAGTAGAGTCGACCGGTTGACTGGCATTTGTGAATGCCCGCAGGACGAAAATTTTGTCTTGCCATTTGAGCATATTTAACGATGTCAAAGGAAAGGTGGCAGTAGCACTAGAGTATTGATAAAAATCAAGCTTTTAGTCGTCGCACGGAAGTCAATTTGTGACAAGCTATTTGGCGCACATTTGTTAGCAAAAAAGTTGGCGGCATACCAAAGCGTTGACGATACATATTCTTTATTGTTGTTTAGTTAACGGCGGCTCACATATTCGTGTGGCACAGTGCTCATTGAATAAATGAATAATCATTGCATAAATTAAAATTTTCGGTTATGGAAATGCTGAAATCAACCACAATTTGGGAATCCGCCAGTCGACCGCTTTTTGTGCGCTCAATATGGCTAGAAGCGCCAAAAACTGGGCGTGCCGGTGCACAACGCCATTTCATACTGGACTACGAACCAAGGCAGAGGCGTATACAATCAAAGTCGGCGGCGAGCATACGCAGAACTAAGGCGCATGGTAAGAGTTTACAGTTACAAACAGATATTATTAATTACTTGCTTTCGAACTGTATATAGCCACTTTGCAACATTCCCATTCATACGATTTTGTTGGAGATTGGCAGAATCATAAACAGTGCAGATTTGCGGAAGAGCCGCAAAGAGACTTATTACTCATTGTGCCAGCCAAAGTAGAGGCTCCAGCTGCAGCGTCAGCGCAACAGACACAGCTGTTTCAACAGAAATACTCAAACAAAACAATATCCACTCAGTCGGGTCGGAGCCAAAAACGCACGACACTTTTCTTTCGCAATCGTCCACAACGTCACGGTCCACTACACGAACTCTACGAGCTTTATTCGCGCCATAGTTCATTACAAGATCTGCAATCGACACTTTCGCAAGCGCACTCACATGCGGATGAGCGCCTGGCGGAGCGTGTACTAAATTGGCTCGATTTAGCTGGCAAGCGTTTTGATACGCAGCAAGATCAAGCTCAGCCTGACATCAGTGAAATGGGAAAGCGACCGAAAAAGCCAATAGCAAAGCCGCTAACAACACAGGCACCGCAAGCTTCAAGTGTTGCTGCCTCCAGCAATAAGGCGCACGTGCAGCGTTCCGCCAACACCACACAAACCCAGTCACACGCACATTCGCAAACCACTACAGCACAATCGTCCTCCAATGCATCACGTTCGCGTAAGCAAGTACGCTATGCAAGCGCTGTGCGTCCGGAACAAAACCCAATCGCCAGCCAAACAGATCAAGTTCGATCCGCAGACCCCGTTAAACATATCACCATCATCTTCGATCGTGAAGGTATGCCGGTACGCTTCAATCGACCCGTGCGTAATATAGATTTATGCACACTGAGCGCTAGCCCGAGCACAGTTCGCCGCATGGCTGGTACGCTGGCCTCTGCACGACTCTACAATGAAGGTGAACGCGCTATCATGCATCCAACATTGAAAACCGTTTCACCGAAACAGCGTCGCTCCAACGAGTTGGAGCATGGCGCATATGCAGCGAAATCAACGCAAAAACGTTCCCACGATGCGGGTGTCTTTGATGCCAAAAAACAGTTGCATATTTTTATGCCAATTTTACCAAAGAAGGGTCTCTTAACACCGGCCAGTACGAATGAGAGTGGCTGCGGCAGTGTCGATGATACGGTTAGTGGATTAAGCAATGCATTTAGTGAGCTTTGTAAAATTTGATGCGGTTTAATTGTGTATTAAAAGCAAAATATATTTGTTTTCAATAAAATGTGCAAAAATATTAAAAATACAACGAAAAGAGTATTAAATATTGAAAGCTCAAAGCAATAAAAACTCGGTATTTTAGTAGCGCCAGTGCCAGAAAGAATTCATACGTTAGCGCTTAATAATGCTGGTTGAAATGCAATAAGTTTTGATCGACATGCTCCTCAACTATCGTCTTTGAAAAGTTGTGACGAATATACAGTTCTAAGTTCTGAAAGTCTCGGTTACTTTTGAATATCTCTAATACGACAAACCACATGCCTTGCCTAATCAGACGAGGCAGTGGCCGTAGACTACCTTTAATACAAGCGGGGCACCAACATAACGTTGTAGGACTTTTTACAGGGGTCTTGTATTTTCAATTGGTGTTTATTAGCAGTATAGTCTGGAACTCAGGCTGCAAGGAGTTCCTTAAATCTCACCTTTTTGGCTTAGTGTATCTATCGTGTCTAATATAGTGTTTAGTCAGTTCCGATTCGTATGGTCGCTAAATGTCCTTACTACTGTTCGATACCAGCTCTCGTCTTACTCTTTAATACCATAATAGCAGTTTTTATGCGCAAAAAACAGCGAAGTCTTTTTCTTTGGTTGTTAAAAATTTTGTTTGGTATATACAGCTTTTAAACCATCGTGGCGTATATCCATTATTTGATTTTTATGACGAAAATTTAAAAATTTCGAGACTGAGGAGAAAAAATTCTTAATTATAGAACTGTTAATATTACCGATTGAGACTAATGAGAGCAAAAGACTTATTCTCCTTCACATTACACTAATTTATCTACATAAATGTAGAACAACAGATATATGTGGATTTTTAATAAATTAAAAGTAGATTTCTTGTACAATCAACTGATAATTAAAATAAATTTAATAAACAAGTTTACTTTCGCCCTGCTAACTTAGACTGCTTGTTATAACTTTCAATTCTATATATTTATTTGATGAAATTATTTTGACATATTATATTTAGTTCGTGTAATGCGTCGTATTGACGTTTACGTATAAAATAATGTATGTTCTACACAAGTCTCTTGCATATATTAATGTCTTTAAATTGACTGAAGTCAAACACATTTTGTGCGCTATTATTAGCCACCGTATCTAAATTGAAAATTATTGAAATGACTTTCCGTCATGACGTATACGTCATTAAATTCATCGATTATTTCGACCAGCGGTAAATAGTAAACAAATACTAACTGTACTGCGCTTACTCGTATATACATAGCATATTTAAACAGTCAAGGCTAGCGTTGACACTGCAGAATTAGTCAAAAAGCCCAAATGAAATCATTCTAGAACACGTAATGCTGCATTAAGTCAACAAAGAATGACAAAAGTTTTTAAGCGTTTATTTTTTTGCTTAAATGCAATTCGGTAAGTTTGCAACTCCCGCAGAGCGAATTTCGTAGAAAGTAATTTGTCTTAGTGCGAGTGCATTTTGCCGTTGAACCGAAGTGAGACGTTGCAAAAATCGTTCGCTGTTGAACGGCCATGAACGCGGCACACCCACCTATGTGTAAGCATACATGTGTATGTGTGTCTAGGTATATACAAAAAGTTAAAGCACTGCATGTCATAATATATGTTTGTTTTCGCTAATACTTAGTACCTCATTTTTATATTATTATTATTTTGTCACTTTTTATTCACCCTTCGTTGGCTGGAATGATTGATATCATGTCAAAAGTGAATTAAAATATTTTATTGTCTTAATAATTACTGCGCAATACCGTAGCAAAATGGCTAAAAGGTCAGACACCAGAATAAAAGTGCATATATTGAAGGCCGTAAAGTAAAAGATTATGTTTTATTACTGAAAAAGTTTTGAAGAGCTTGTTGTGTATTTTTATAGAATAATGTATTCGAACACTTTTACTCAGGCTTCCCATCTTGCCGCCCATTCGTTTGATAAAAACCCATCTCACTTTGTTAGAAATCTGTGGCGAAATGGTTCCCCAAACTTTGGGGAAGTGAGGGCATCGTTTTAGCCGGCGAGTAATGTAGAACTTTATGTAGAGTTCTGGAAAAATTTAAAAGTTCATCGACGTCTGCGAATGGTCACGGTTTTTAGACCTTCTTGAATTGTTCTATGGCAGTTTGTTGGGTTTTCTGTGACTTGTGAATAACTAAAGTAAGTTATGAAGCTGATTTGACTTTCTGATAACGGCTCGAATCTTTACTAAATCCGGCAGGGTACTGTTAATCCTTTCAAATATCTTTACAAGACACACACACTTTTAATACTTTTTTGGTGAAATAAGTGTAGACCCGGGAGAAATAACTATTTTTCAGCTATTTATTAGCACATCGGGCGAAAATCATTAGAAAGCTCACAAATATTTCTTGAAAGCAAAGAAATTGTTTTTACAAAAAAAAATTAGTTATTGAAAAAAAAATGTTTTAAAGAAAAAAAAAGGTATCGGAAACCAACACTAGATTAATTTATTTATTTAACTTAACGGTAATAATAAAACTTGACATAACCGAAACTAATCTTATCAAATCTAGTCTAACATAGGCCTATCTATCTTTTATATGCATTTCTAGTACCTAACATGCATACCAAACATATAGTCTGTTAGTTTCTCTGCTGTGTACATTTTCAACATTGTACACTGAGGCGTGTACGTAACCTCAGGTGACATACCATAATAGATACATACCTACATACATAAATAGACACATACACATGTATTACGGTGGAGCGAACATTTTTTTATATTTTTTTTGCTTAGCCTGAGTTTAAAATTTAAAGATTATAAAAAAAGAAAATTTTTGGAAAAAAAAATTATTTGAACATCTAGAGGCGGCCCACTCACTTTTAAAGTAAATTTCGAGTTAAAATTTTTATTTCGTAAACATTTTTTGATAAGTGTTCTAGAAGCTGTGGAGAGCTCTTTCTGGCCAATAAAAAGTTATCACTTAAAAAAAATTTTTGTGGTTATTATTGGAGTTTAAAAAAAAAGTCTTTAACGACAACTTGCTTTCCTGAAGCGTTAAAATAAATTTTGAGTTAAAAACTGTCAAATTCGGTAATATTTATATAAATGTGAAGAGTTTAACCAAAAAAAAATTTTGACCCGAAACTTACTTTAAAAGTGATGCCTCTAGTTGTTAAAAACATTTTTTTTCCCAAAAATTTTTTGTTTTTATAATCTACAGATTTTACTCTCCGCCCTAATATGTATGTACATTGTACGTAAACTAATATGTGAGCGGTCGTATACAAGAAAATATATGATACTCAAAATCATAGCAAAAGGTAGTCTAATATGTGTGTTTAGTATTTAAGGATCCTGTGGGAAATTCCATTAAAATGAGCTACGTATGAATTTGTATACAATCAGTTTGTTTGGTATATATTATTTTTAATAATATTTAGTAAATTTCGCCTACTGTCTGTTCCTGACTGCCTTTTGACAACTATATAATGTTCAAATACTCCACCATCTCCCCAAATGTTTTAAAAAGGGAGGTAAATTTATGTTGCAGAACTTTTTTTTTTTTTGGAACGTACGCTACATATATTGTAGATATATAATACTTAAACCTCCAACTAGTCCAAAACTAGTTAAACTGCAACTAATATGTATACAAGTACTGCATCTAAACATTAGGAAGTGTTGTTGTAATATAGAGTACAGGTTCAACAAATTATTATGAAACCACCTATATATATAGTCCATATATTAGTTATTTATAGCTAAGAATAAACATATTGATTAACACGCTAATGGCAACACTGCTGCAGACATATTGTAAACATATGACAATGCCACGCGCTTTACCACACTCTCACTGTAGCTGCGAAATTTCAAAAGCCGTCAAAATGTTATAAATAATTGGCATGCAATGCCGCAGCGCCTTGAGGTAGGCAATACAAAAATATGAGTGAAACAAAACTATAATTTTAATAAGTAAACTACAAGGTAAATGCAATAAATCCACCTTCACCACTGACTTTCATATTTTTGCAGTCATTTTGATTGTTGAATGTTTTGTTGTTGCTTTTATTGTTGTAGAAATGAAGTTTAGTTACATTGTACTTCACTGACGACAATTTAAGCGGGTGAGACAGCGCTTGTTGATTGTTTATTTTGCTGGTAATTGCGTAGTCGGGCATGAGGCTATGACTATGCAGGTGGAGGGGGGGTAGGTGTTTGATGGTTAGGGTGTGTGCGTGTAGAAAATTTAATGTGCCCGGCTTTCTAAAATGGATATACATTTTTAGTTTATTGGTCCTCAAAGTACCAGTTCTTTTTCTCCAAAATGGCGTTATATTTAGGTGAAAGCAGTATTTACGTTCGTCTTAACAGAAGTCTGTCCGATGACAATAACTAAAGAAACAGCTCTGAAAGAAAAGCTACATAGTCTTATCTTCTCCACAAGTATAGATTTGGACTAAGTAGCAAACCTTAACTTAGTTCTTCCCTTGAAACTGAAAGGAGTAAAGGCATTTATGAACACAATAGTTGATTAGCCAACTATAAAATTGTTACATGAAGCTTCTACCGTTAAAAAATATTTCAAATATCTTGAATTCAGCGAGGTAACTATCACTTCGAAGCAAATGCAACTGTTGCGAAATGACACAGAAGTGTTGCACAACTCCATTGGGACTTCGAATGGTTTTATTAACTATGACAATAGTTGTTCAAACAATTACAAGCAGTTCTCAAGCCCCAGCGTCATTTCCTGAGCTCTTACAAAAGCTCCACTGATTTTTCTTCAATAAAATCACATTTCTTCCATTTTTCTTTGTTGGCGCGCAGTCTTGTATCTACTCCACATTACTGCTACCGACAAAGCACATGTCGCGGTTGTGAGTCACCCATCATTGGCTGTTGAATGCGTGCTGTCGCTTGGTTTTTTCTATCATTTTAAGTACAAAAGTTGGGTGACCTTTTCAAAAATAATATAGACGGTGCAGAGCACATACTCATCTATGCATTTGAAATACTTGTAGGCAAGCTTATAAGCCCCATGTAGCCTAAATTTAGTATGCATTAAAATTTCATATGTCGATTGTGTGCAGTTGTGCGGCTATACGAGACGTCAAAATTATAAGTCGTCGCATATGTTTTCAATAGCTTTTTTATACCCTGAACAAGGTATTTTAAGTTCGCCACGAAGTTTGTAACACCAAGATGGAAACGTCGGAGGCTCTATATAATATATATGTATGTATATAAATGATGAGCGAGACGAGCTAAATCGATTTAGCCGACTGTCGGTTCAGACTCTGTATGTATGATATATATGCCAATTACGGAAATTTGTCATACGTTCTTTTCTCCTTAAGAAGCTGCCGATATCGAACCACTATAGCTTATAGCTGCCATACAAACTGATCGATCAAAATGAAGATAAAGCTCTTTTTATACCCTTTTTTGCTATTAGAAATGCACCTGTGAAGGGTATTATAGCTTCGGTGCTGCCGAAGTTAACAGTTTTTCTTGTTATTAGCTTATTTTCTTATATTTAATGCAAAAACTTCGTCATCAATGAAATGGCAGTTTGTCTCTGCATTGTGGCGCGTCAAACTTAGTTGTTGCTTTATTATGCCTTAGTTAGGACTAAAATGCATGAAATACACACACATACACATGTACCGTTCAGTATATGTCTGCCAGCAAATGACTTGTCCAAAATGCGCAACAAAAGCGCTTATATTTGTATAGTTTGAGTTGCAGGGAAGGATATTGTCATTATTTGTTGTTTTGTTGTTTTAGTGGATTTCATTTGCAGAACAATTGTGTTGTTTTTAGAAAAATACGGTTTATTCGAGTATTTGCTGTGCCTACGAACGGACGACACTCGTGAAAGCAACGCGAAGTGGCAACGCAAAGTCAAGAAAATAAAAGTAGTGAGTTCAAGAATAACAATAGAGGCAGAGAACGTCGCTATTAATAAAGCAAAAAAAAAAATAATATTCGTAATAATTAAAATCAATAAAAACAACTGAAAACGCTAATCAATAATTAATAAAGAGGTGCAAATCACAGCTAATTCAATAAATATAATAGCACAGAGGGACACAGAAAGAGAGAGAGAAAGAGAGAGCGCAAAATCATGTCAGACGACAGTTTGGACGGTGATTTGAACAGCGCCACTTCAAGTCCCGAAAAGCGACGCTCGACGGTACCCGATATTTTACCACATCAACGCAGTTTCGAGAAACGCTATAGTCACATGATTCATAAGCAAATACTGGAGACGGGCGTGAATAAGGAGGCGCTGCAGCGTCAAATCAATGCATATTTCTCCTGTGGTGGCGCAGGCAGCAGTGGTGGTGGTGGTGCCAGACACCGACAGAGTTCCACTCAGGAAGATGTGAATGAAAATGTGACAGAACCTACAGCTAAGGGTGAGGGACAAGTGGCGCAGGAGCGTGTAAAGCGCACTGGAGAGGAGAGTAGAAGGACGTTGGATAAAGCAGAAACTGTGGATATAGCTGATTTGCAGGGCGCAAAAGTTTCCGGTGATTTGTAAGAGAGCTATGCATAGTTACTTTTTTAAGTTGTATATAGGGTGAGCCGTTTATGTTTTTAATGCAAACAAATTGAAAGTCAAAAAGTATTGGTATTGAAAATAATACATTTTCAAAAGCTATATAACTAAATAATTATTTAAGTGCCGTATTGGAATATTTTGTCCACTATTAATTTTCAAAATGTTTTCGATGTTTAAATCAAAAATTTAAAGCATTATATACATATATGTAACAGTATTGGGTATTGTCTGGCGTTGCCGAAGATTTTTGTGCTTAAAATTTCTCAAATCAAAAAAAATAATTAATTTTGATGAATACAGGTAATGATCGATAGACTAGTCAAAATTTTGATTTTTGACAAAGTGTCGGCTTCCCAAATAATGTCGGTTTTGGTGAAGAAAACTTCAGTGTGGCTTAAAAAGGTAGAAATTACTATCAAATTTTTTTTTTTAATTTACGTCTAAATAAAGCTTAACATATAATAATTTTTGGAAAATAAAAGACTCTGTTTTACTGATACGTGTGTGGCTTGGGCTATCTTAAAATATTTGAGAGACGACTCTTAAACCTTTGGGGGTTTTATTTCTGCCCTAGTCAGAATGGTTTCATACTTCTCGTTTGGGTTTATATGCAACTCAACAAAAACTTCTTAAACTGGTATGTAGGATTCTTTAAACCGTATATATCACCCTGTGTCGTAAAGTTTACATAGCACGAGTTTACCTAAAATAATAAATATAAAGTCATACCTAAAATAGCCAAGACTGGAACCTTCTGTCGAAAATTGGACCGAACCTTTGAAAAGACAGTAAGTTTCTAACCTCATATGTGTCTAAAATTTTGAGATTTTCTAAAAAACATAATAGAATTGGTGCAATTTATGCGACTTTTCGGCGTTCTTAGAGAAGGCTGAACTATAGGTGAGGCGATATTATTTTCGCTAGGGCTATGATATTTACGAGCTCTTACAAGTTCTGCTAGTTCCTAAAATCAACAACGGGAAAGTGAAAGAGTGGGTTCCGATCTAAAGCAGCACGCCACTTCGGGGCTATAATGCCAAAACCACTTGTACATAGACAAATCGACAGAAAAGCTAATGAAATCAATTGCAGTCACCACATAATTGGTAGATCAATTATGCCAAGACCATTTCTTGCTATAAACGTACATACATACATATAAACATACATAGCACAGTGGCTGCGTTAATCAAACTTGAAGTGATATTTGTCTGCGTTATTAACATTTCACGCACTTTGTCGACTCCCTGGGCCAAGCAAGTGAATACTCAAGCTGTCGTTGGAGATAGATGAGGGTAAAATTGTTGGCGATGAGGCGGTGGGGTGAGGAAATCAATTAAACAAATATAAACACGTACCTATGTACATATGTATGCTTGCCTATATAAATATATATAAATAAATTTTAACATGCCGCGCTCCATAGTCCATATTGATGATGAAGGCATTTCGAACCCTACAAATCCGGTGTTGGCAGTTCATTTGTCGTGACAGTAAATCGAATCGGGAAGTGAAGTGCTTATGTCAAGTGGTTGGACATAATGAAACGGACAGTGCTGTAAGAGCGCCATGGTCAGCTACTTAAGTGTGGACAGCTAGAGGGAGAGAAAGAGTGAAAGGATTTGCGAGGAGCAAAGTAGGCTGTCCGGGGGTATGTACAGGATGCGGACGGCGGCTGATTGTACGAATACTGTTTGCATTTGGCAACACTTGAACGCCTCAATGCTACACACAAAGCAAGTGCAGCCAATTCACTGTAAACACATACACACACACACACACAAACACTCAACAACAATGGCGTTCGCATTCAAGTGGAATTGATGCATTGAAATCGGCATTGGCGACAGGATAATAGTGTGCGAGATGTGGCAGAGTTCGTGTGGTTGGAGCGTAGCGAATGGCAGAGAAAATGGCTCAAGTGGCTGGCATTACGAATTCATAGCGAAGTGCCGGGTGTAAAAAGCGTTCGAAGGTACTCTTTGTGTATTCTTTTTTTGTGGTTAAGCATGTGGGTAAAACGGAAACGGCGCTGCCAAAGCAACAAGTGGCTGCAAGTTTTGCTAATGCCTTTACAAGCATTTGGCGTAAAGGAATTGCTTTCGTGAAAAAATTCCGATTTTTTCTATTTTCTTTGATGAAATGTTTTCTCAAAACTGTTTACCGACCGAAAAACGCACAAAGGTACAGGAAAAGTATGAAGAAATATTTTAAGACGTGGAAAATTAGTGTAAAGTGAATATTTGTAGCTTGTACAGTGTGTAAATGTTTTAAGAATTTGAGCAAAAATACATCAACGATTTTTTTGTTTATTAAGAGGTGTCTTTTATTGAAAAAAGTCAGTTAAAATTAAAATTAATATCAACAATGTGGAAATGTTGCCTACAATTAGTCTCATTATGAATGAAAATACTTAACATACGATGTATTGAAGACAAACACCTAGAGAGCTTCTCTGAGTAACTTTTTTATATCGGAACTACACTCAGATGTTTGATATTGGCTAACAGGAGACGTAAAAAGTTAAAAAAAGAGTTTCTATAAGTTAAATTTTGTCTAATTATACCTAATGTTAAAATGTTGCTTACAATTAGGCTTATTAATAATGAAAATACTATCTATCGAAGTCAAACATCTAGCGAGTTTCTCAGAGGAGCTTTCGCAAATAATAGATACACTCAGATGTTTGGTATTGGCTTACGGAAGACAGAGAGCCATTAGAGAAAACAGTTTCTATAAGATACATTTTACCTTTGCCAAAACTTATGTAGACATGTTGCCTACAATTAGGCTCATTATAATATAACAGTACTTAACACATGATATATCGAAGTCACACACATAGAGAGCTTCTTTGAGTAAGTTTTAAAAAAAAAGTTTTGCCTCGACCACAGCTTTTACCCTGTGAGACATATTCTTTGCTCGTTTGGCAACCGTGGCATCTGGTCTTAGTATTTAAATTTTAATAATATAGTAAATTTTCTAAAGTTCCCTAAATGCGCTAAAATTATACTTAAAATCCTTTGACAAGTTCATAAGCTTGTTGAGAATTATAAAACGCTTTTAAGAAATTAAGTAAGAATATTTTAATTGTTTAAAGGACACTGTACCTTCACCACCACCCATTAAACAGTAACTATCTGTGTCTATTAAATTGAGGCAACTTGTTGAAATAAGCTACCACAAATACGGAAGTCAATGTCAAAGCATTCAAAGGGGGCAATACAAAGTAGTTAGATAAAGTAAAAGAAATGAAATAATAAAAAGGAGAAAGGCAGCAATTTTTTCGTGCGCTTACAAGTGATAGAAAAACTTTGAAGCAGCAAAGAACAATGACAGCGGATATAGGAAGTAAGAAACTGGCAAATAGTTTCTTAACTAACCAAAAAGTTAAGGCGAATGCACCGGTAAAGGAAATGGAAAATGTGCAAATAGCATTCACTAGGAGAATTAAGCAGAATTTCACGAATGAAAGCAAGCGAAAAAAGTAAAATTGGAATATATAAAATGATAGTAATTTACTACTGAGTAAAGAGTACTCTTAGCAAGTGAGCTCCCCCCAACACAGATAAGTCAAATCACATCCTAAATCAACTTAACGCCGTCTTATGAACCACTAAATTATGCGTTGACCTAACGTTTACACTAAGCATCTTGAAGTGTAAATAAATTCATTTTCACTTGCCAACCTGCATAATAAAATAATAAATTATGCTCGCATGGATTAAATTAATGCTTGAGATTTTGATGGAGGTACTTGTACTTGAGAGGTACTTCTAACTAGAGGTGATTTAAACCAAGCACTTAAGTTAAGCGGGCTTGTATGCTGTGAAGAAAAAAAAAGAATCTGTCCACACAGTGAAGATAGAACGATTGGAAGTGCTACTCGGAAAGTGCAACTTTCGTCTGTATTTTCTGAAAAAGTCTCATCAAATTCATCTTTCGTAAAAAAGACTGACACCGATTTCATCAATTTAGAATTATGTTATCGATGTTCTTCTATATATAATATTTTCGGTGAAGAGAAAATAATAAGATGAGAACGGGTCCTACCGCCTTCTTGATTAATGGCTAAGGAGATTAAGGATCAAGGAAAGAGAGAGAGAGAGAGATTAGAATTAAATGTAATGGAATCTAGAATCAATAAAATGTCTGATGTAAAATAAACGATTAATATAATTAAGGGGTGTGCGCGTCATTTTAATCAGTCGTAAATTTTGGATGAGATAATCAAAACGATAAAGGCTATATCAGAATTGAATGTCGATTAATTTAAGGAAATCAAGATGTATCAAATCCTCAATTGAGAAGCAGAACAAAACTTACTCTATAAGACTCTTGCTCTCTTATTATACGCCGCAGAAGCATGGAACCAAACCAAAATTAGAAAGCACTTGGAGCATTCGAGAGAACTGTTTTTCCCAAATTTTCTGGAGCCGTCCGTGAACGCTGAGTACCGAAAAAGGTGGAACCACGAACTGTATGAGCTCTACGGCAACATGGATATAGTTAAGCGCAGAAGATCCAACGAATGCGCTGGTATATCTGGTCATATCCTACACATGGAAGACGATGCTTCAGCGAAAAACTCTTCAATTTGAGACAAAGTGTGGACAATCGAAGTAATAATGCCGACGCATCCAATGGAAGGACGAAGTACATATCACTCACAGAACTGCCTTAAATCGGATAAAGATATTTCATTTTCATATCTTTGGCTACTTTGGAAAAGAAACCAAGCGAAAACACTATTTGTTTTGTTAGCCTTACATTTTTACATTTCTATTAAAGAATTGTTATAATATAATAATCTCAAGACCTACGAATCGCAAACTATAAAACATAACCTCAAACGTTTCACTGCTATCGACTCACACTTCACTTCAATGCCTCTAAAATAAATACTCGTATATGCAGCGAAAATCAAGTTAATGACTGGGAACAACCCCATAAATTATTGTACAAAGCATTAAAGAATTGATGAGCCACTAAAGGAAATTCAGAAGATAGCACATTCATTTCATTAAGTGGTGCGATAATATTTTTTCTTTTTTTTCTTGCTTATTTTGTGGTAAACCACAACACTTCACCGAGGTGAGATGACGTCGTATTTTATTCATGACTTGGCAGCACTGCGAATGGAAGGAGTGAAAATAAAAGTGAAGTAGCTGTAAATGAATAACGGTAAATGGACAACTTCCAGGTGATTGAGCAACGCATTTGATTTGCTTAAATTACCGTGCGCCGACAGACAGAATGCCGAGAGCACGTGAATAAGTGCGAAATGAATGATGGGAATAAGAATAAAAAGTAATCACATAAATTATGTGGTGCTGCATAAATTGGGCAGCTAACTAACACTAAATGGACTATCTCTTCCGGCTCATATGTGGTACTCACCAACAGTGGTCAGCAGCATATTATCCAATAACAACGCAATGGCCACAATGATCAAGACGAGTTGTCGTGAGCCGCGCCAGCCGATCATCCAATTCTTGAGCGTGGCCCATGAGCCGGCGGCGCCGTAGTTCTCCTGCCGGCAATGATCCGGCGGTGGTGGTTGCGGTGTCATATAATGGCGTCCTGGTGTCTTGATTGCTGCCGGATCTGTGTGGGAGTTTGGTGTCGGTGTTGCTTGTGCTGTCGCTGTTGCTGATGTTGTTGTTGTTGCGCCACCGACGCCAAAAATGCCAGCGCCTGCTTCGTTGGCATGCTGTACGCTGTTGTTGAAAATTTTGTTGCTGCCATTCGGTTGTTGTTGCTGCTGTTGCTGCGCTAATCTTTGCTGTTCGTTGCTCCACTGGGGAGTTGGTGTTTGCTTGAAGGGATTCCTGCTGGGTGTATTGTGCTGGGCCGTGCTGCTTCTGTTGTGCTGTGCGGTTGCGTCGTTTATTGTTGTTGCTGCTGCTGTTGCTGGTCCCGCTGCAGATGATGATGCCAAATGACTGGTGATGTGCTGACTGAAGTTTTTTGCTCCATCTCCAGAATCAGTCGATTGCATTGCGCCACCCGCTTGTTACTATGGAAAATAAGAGGATAACGAAAGTGTGGTTGTTAAAAAATAACGGTTTGGAAATATTTTGATTAGTTTTTAATGAATTTAAAGCTTGCGTTGTAATTAATTTAAACCGATTAAATTTTTTTTCTGCTATCGAAAGGCATTGGCTAGTAAAAATGTGTGCTTTTGGGAGTTCGTACGACAAGTGCATGATAAAATCTTAACTGTACTTTCTAATTTTTAATATATCATAGGTTGTTGTTCATAACTAAATTTATTTTTGTTTACTGAATTTTTGCTGGCCGATTTTGTCAACCGAAGCCGAAACTTTAACAAACGAAGTTGTTACCGACGTATTTTAATGTCAGGGGCCAGAGCAAATGTAACGTCATTATGGTCTACGAATTAGTTGAGTTCGTGAGACCACAGATCTCTATTTAAAACATTTCGTTATTAGTAGCTATTCTAATACTCGTTTGCTCGTTTTGTTTGAGCGGGATTATCCTCGTATGCTTTCTAAACTAGTGAAGGAGTATTTAATGTTTGTTATGTTGGCTAAATGTTCCGCTTGGTGACAAAAGCTGGTTCGAGTTGCTCTTCCTTATTAACAAAGTAACCTTAATGACATGTAAGTACCCCTATTAACCTTTTTTTCTTGCAATCCTTTCTATTTTCGCATGCTTCCATTTATCACACGCAAATAAAATTCTATTTCACTTTCAAATAATAACATTTATGTTATAAATCAGGCATAAAACATATTGATATTCGAATGCAAATGAAATCAATGCCAGATAAAAGTAGATTACGAGATTAGAGAAGAATTTTTCGCTGAGAAATGTGACTATACAAGAATAAAAGAAAAAATGGTACAAAAAGAAAGGCAATGCATGTGAAAGGTAGCAAAAACGACGACACACAAATCGGATCAAATAAAAGTTAAGTGGCTGATGAATGATTGTTACTGAGCGGAATAGTGCACGAGGGTGAGCTTTGCTGCCGGGAAGTGTGGTGGGAGAAAGCGATGGTAGCAAAGCAAAAAATATGCATGTAAGATTACTTAGGACTTGATAAATATGTAGCTGTGCGAAGAAGACAGCCTTTTCTACTGTGGCGAAGAGAAGAGTGAGAGATGTGTAATGAAAACCAGGAAAGTCGGCTAATAGACAAAAGCTGCTTAGGCTTATAGATGACAGAATAGAGTATAATAAAATTACATGTTTATGTAATTGTGGAAATATGGGTGGATTTTTACAAGGAGTTCATAGTTTTTTTATTTAAAGAAAATAAGATCCACGTTTTCTTTCATTTAAGGAGCACACCTAATGTGACATGTATATTTATATATACATGTTTTAAGAATACACAGTAAAATTTAAAAAAAAATTTAATATGCAGTGATTCCGCGCTTCGCCGTGGATGAAACCTTAAAAACATTCCCTCTAGAAGTTTTTGACTGAACAGTAAACTAGTAAATGATGTTATTTTAAAAAAAATACAATTTTACCCAACAAATATTTGAAATGAAATGCAGAAAATATCTAAATTACTAGTTAAAACAATTTTTTAAGCTTCTCTGCAGCTAATAAGTGAAACCGAAACAGGCTGAAAATATATACTTCGGCGTCCAGAAAAATAGAAACTATTTTATTAGCCTATTCCGCTTTGTCTTGTAAAGTAATTTGGTTATACTATGGTCGATAATAACCAAACCGCGCCGTTAACAAATAATACTCAAAAATAAAATAAGAAATTTGAATGAAATTTTTTTTATATTTTTTTTAGCCACCCTACCTCTTACAACAGCATAGCGCCGAAACGTGCTTAAAACTTTATAATAAACCGAACTTTTTCTAACATATAACATATACATACATTTGTTTTTCGTAATAATGTAATTTTTTTCTTAAAAATAAACTACTTGTATTATATTAGACAATTTCCTATCCCTGTGAAAATTCTTCCGTGCAATCGCTTTATTAATTTCTTGCAACTTTTATTGCTTTTAAATGTTTATCGAGCAAATTAGTTTTCATTATTTCACTGCAATTAGCCCTCACTACAACATTGACCTGATTTAAAGTCTTTACTTTTTAAAACCTCATTTTCTCAGCTATTGTTACTCTCAAATTGATACAAAAATTTTTATCTCTCCGCTCATCTTTATTTGCTTGTTTTCAATTTGTTGCCATTTAATTTTGTTAATTATATTATACGTTTTGATTAAAATTTCTCTCAACGCACTGATTTAATTAGACACCCTTAATTGTTTTTTGAATATTCATTAACAACAACAATATTTTTACGGTTATTAGAAAAATGTGTCTGTTCGCAACACGTGCTGCCAGTTTTAATATCAATTTATAATAGCGTACAAACATATGTATAATATATGTATATACATATCTATGTCATATATGTAATATAATATATATCATATATGTAATGTAATATATATCATATATGTATGTAAGTATGTATGTGCAGCATTACATACTACTTCAAGCATACATTTGCTTGTTTGTATGCATATGTGTAAATTAGAAAATCACAAAAACAGCTACATTTCCATATTCATATTCTTTTGGCTAATTTCCTTCTAATGACGTTTTAAAGCCGCGAATAAAACAAAAATGCGATGAGAATACAGTTGCTGTGCATTAAATTATGAGCAGTGCTTATAATCAGTGCTCGTAATCTTTAGAATACGGCAACAAAATAAAATTTTTACAGTTATCTTTTTTAATTCGGTATATAATATTTTGAGTATGATTGTATGTATACGAGTTCTTTCTTTTTTGTTGAAAAATTTTGTACGAGTTTTTTTTTCTTCTTTCTTAAATATCTAAGTTTTCAATTAAAGATTGAGTAATTTTTTTTGTTTATTCATGTGACCCTGTAGAAAATATGACAGACGTTTGATTGCTTATATGACAGACAGTGCATCAGGACACAAAATTTTATGAGAGATTTTGAGTGTTATATGAAAATCATTTTACCCCTTGACTTGTGTGCAATTAAAGGGCACATCTAGTATGAAACTTGGCATTCAAAAAACAACCAAAAGTTTGTATTAAAAGTAAGAAAAGTATTTTTTTCGATCGTAGCTCAATGTACAGACAATATCTTCTAGTAGCTAATTCTTTTTAGCTTTCTTCCACGGAGAGGGTCGGAATCTTTGCAGCGGTAGGTTCTCCACGCCGGCGACAATCGCGTGTAACTCGAAAAATACTTAATTTTTTTCTTCAAAATTTTACTGCGCATTTTTGAAAATATATTTTTGAAATATGTTTAAATATTTTCTTAAAATTTTACAACAATTGATACTTTATTTTTTTTTAATAATTCCCAAAAGTTGACTTTTTTAGTGTATCGCTTAATTTTCCATTTTCACTAGTATAGGTTTATATGCGTTAATTCTCTTCTTGCTTGCTGAAGATGCTCTAATTTGATATATTTTATCATACTCTTTTTTTTATTAATTTAAAAGAGTATTCGAAAGTTTTTATAGAATTAGAAACAAAACTTTCTATTCAAATAAATAAAATATAATTACTGTATAGTATATACAACAACACACTTATATTTTAGCGCCTTGCGACCGTTCTTCGCATTTATCTACTATTCAAGCAAGCAAAAAGTGTCGAAGCATCAGCAGAAGTCGTCAATTATGACAGCTTTTTGATTTAATTGACAGTGGTTAATTGAATTTATATGAACCGAACTTCTACCAGCGCGTGTATATATGTGTGTGTCGCTCCGTGTGCAAAAGCGTAAAAGAGGAAGAAGTGTAACGCAACAGCTTGACAAATGTCAGAAACGCGCCGAAAATAGACGAACCAACCGTATTGCGATCATAGCAAAAACAATTTCAGTGGCAAAATTGTTCATTGAAAGCCCTTTGCTTGAGGCGCAAAAGACGGCTTGTAAGGAAGCCGCTGCCGCACAAACATTCTTTACTTCGCACCCCACTTTCTACATGCAGCGTTTCTTCTGCTGTACCATTTACCACAACGCCTTTTCATTGAATTTTGCATGCCACTTCCTTGCTTCCATTAACCCCGCGCCGTTATTGTCAAAGTGTGCGTTCAATCGACGGTTTAAATGAATTATGAAAATTGAATTTCCTTAGAAAATTTTGTAAATTGTAAATTGACTAGCTTTTCATTTACTTACTCACTTTCTAACACGCCTATTGATTGCAGCAGTGTTTATATATGCACATAAGTATGGAACTACAAAAGCGTCTCTTTTATTTTGCAAATTCTTCAAAACTAGTAATTTTTTCCTATTGATCTACAAAATACATACATATTTTGAAATAGCTCAGATATAGCGGATTTTTGATCTATATTTATTTTTTTTTCTTTTTGAAGAATTCACTTGAAAGTCTTTTACAATGGTTAACGAGAGAAAAACGTACGCCCTCAGTTTTTCAATTTGTTTTAAATTTTTTCAACAGTTTTTAAGGAAATAGAAATAGAAATTTTTTCGTTAGCAATCGAACAGCTGTTAAAACAGGCGCTGGGCCAGCAAATGTGAAGATCACTGAGAGAAGAGCGAAATAATTTGTAAATTAATATCTGTCAGAAAATATATTAATATATCCCTAAAAATCGTTCCGTTACGCCAGTAGTGTTGTTGTATGCATTTAGTTACCGCTTGCCTGAGTATGAGAAGACTGTTAGCAAGTTCACTACGTGAAGAGTGCGTAATCGTAGTTGTCGGCTAGTGATCGGCTCTTCAATTTTCAAACGAACATAGAGAAATCAAATAAGAATTTAGAGGCTTCAATGTGTGAGTATCGCTTCCCACTTAATTCATATTTTTCACCACAATATTGAAGAATCCTTTTGAAAAAAGATTGGACTCGGTCACGATATATTCATTGGTCAACGATCTGTCATCAATTTATGCTCTAAATAATGGATTTATATACGAGTCTTTGGCACAAAGCACACCTATTTGGAAAGGAAAAAAAAATTCATTTTTGATTTAAAATGCAAAAAAGATCATAACCACATATTTTTAACTTTTTTAAGATTTTTGGATTTGGTTTAAATTCAATTAGTAGCGCTCACTTACGTTTAATTATAAATTTTATGTGTTCTCAGGACGCATACAAAATGTATACTAATATACTCGTACGAGTATATGTACATTTGTATTTTTATCACAAGGTCCGCGTAGTTCTAACTCATACACACGCGTTCTTATTTAAAAGAAATATATTTTTAATAATTCTATAATATATTCTCTATACCATATATATTTTTTGTGTATTTTAAGCTTTAACACGAGCTAAGCAATTACAAACGGTACTATATAGCTTAATTATGCAAGTAATTAACAAATATTATTCTCGTGCACTTTTGCTTTTCCTCTTCTGCTACTTTTGCCGTGCTTCCTTTATTATTTTGTTATTGTGTGCAGCTGAGTTTCAGTTAATTCATGACTTCCGATTGTGTGACTGAGCACAGAAAAACTGTTAATTTATATTTTGAGCTCACTAAGCATATACCATATATAATTTTATAATACTGTGTCATAAAGTAATTTTTTTTTCATATTAAAATCGCAAGAAATAGATATTGAGTACCGTTTTTAGTTGTTTGAAACTTTCTCGCGCACAAATAAACAAGCAGTTAAAAAATTTCTTTTTGCTAAAATTTCAGTATTTTAATAAAAAAGTTTACTTAAAATTTTATCACGTAAAATGCGCGCCAAAATACTAGCTTATAAAAGTGTTGATCTAACGGAAAGCGCTAAGCGTGCTACCCACACTTGTCCAGCGTGCTTGAATGCCGACAGACGACTCAGTTCGATGCGCAACAGTCGGTTAGTAAGTAGGCGAAAAATCATAAGAAATCTTATATCAAATGTGCTGTGTATATATCATAGGTAGTATATGTATATATGTACGTATGTTTGCAAGTCACTATAAGATTGCATGTTTCGAACAATTTGACTATAACCGTCGTAGTACCGGAATTCGCGCACTTGCAAGAGAGCAATTCATGTCACACATATCGAAGAATATGTACATAGGTACATACATATGTATGCATGTTTATTTGTATAAAAGTATATACGACACATCTGGACAACATTACGTTTTCTTGACGCACACGTTGCCGCTACAAATGCTCAGAGCTTAGTTTATTATTATCATTATTTTGGTGTGTACAAATAGTACTCTTACATTTCTATTTACATATTTCGCTTCTTTCATTCGCAAAACGTCGAAAAATAATAAAATGCAAATATAAAGCGCACAATTTGCTTAGAAATTGCACGATATTTACGCTCCTTTCATAAACTATTAATTTTTTATGCAAATTTGTATTGAATAAAGAATATCAGCTGTTGTGTATATTTGATACGCAGTTCTATACATACATACATTTTTGCGAATAAAATGCTTGAGTTGAGCAATGTAATTGCGTTAAATATATCGGATAACAATACGAGAGATCAATTATTATTGATTGTCAGCGTCGATCGCGATTTTGTTGCTTAAAATAAATAGAAAGAAATTTTAGTTCAATAATTATGATATTTATACTATAACAAATAAAAAAAATCTATAAACTGTAATCCGACTGGAAATTACTTAACAAATGGCAACCAGCAATAACAGGTTCTTAACAAAGAAAATAAAATCAATCGATCAAAAAAATATTGGGCTAAGTGTATTCAAATAGCTACACGTTGATTGATTTGCGGTAAAAAAAAAAAACGCTTAAGTAATTCTTACATCATCATGATTTACGGCGCACAAAGAATATTTGAGAAGAATAATTTGACAAGAATATATGTACAAGTATTTGTACGTTTTCTATAAAAAATTGCATTAAAAACTCATTGTAGAGTGAAAAAACATAAAAGCAACAAACAACGAAAATATTTTTTTAACTGTCATATTCAAAATTAAAGCGGCTTGTGTTCAAGACGTCATCTAAGGTGCGTGTATGTATATAAATACTAAAACACAATGTAATTTATTAAATAAAATTAGTTGCGTAGGCGGATAAAAACGTACAGAAAAATCTGCCTGCTTGTAATGGTATAGAGTATTGGTCATAATAAATGAGATTGAAAAAAAGAAATATTATAAGTTTTTAGGTTATATATATTACAAATGTTAAACACTAACAATATATTAAATTAATAATAATAATATAATATATATATATATGCACATGTCAATAAATTTATCAATTAAAATTTATATGCTTTTTCATTACTAAACTTTATGTTAAAATGGCAACACTATTAGATATAAATCTCTACTGTTTAACTCATGCAAATATTTATCTAAGAACATCCAATAGTGTGAATAATTTGTATTTGTGCGTTAGATCTCAAATCATAATTTTATGTGATTATCTTATTCATTTGTTTTATAGTGCACATGCAGAAATCCGCCTTGTTACTAAAAGTGTAAGCGTAGTGTTAGTTCGTGCGTCTATCGATTATCGATACTGTCATTTTTTAATGTCAGAGGGTTCTAATTTAAATTTACTTTACTGTTTTTTTTTTAAATATTTTAAATAGGAATTCTTAAGTATTTAGTAACTAAATTTTTGCAAGTTTTTGACGGTCACTGGTCACTTTGTGCTTCACATCGCTCGCACCATGGCAAGTGTTTTTTAATTTTAAATTTCTCCGAAAACTTGAAAATTGATCTGGAAATTAGAGATTAGAGTTTTTCTCGAAACTCTGTTTTCAGAGTCGATGAGGAAAATTTCTTTGAAACGGCTGAATAGATCGATTTGAAATTTTCACACGATCTTCTTAGTTATATTTGTCAAATGAAAATTGAAAGTCCTTTATGACAATAAATTTTTGTGGTTTTTGCATTTAAGATAATTTGAAGCAGAAAACACCTTTTTTGGAGGTCCTCCTGGAGATGGTTTACATGATCAAAGGAACCCAACTTTTTGAAAATAAATCGCCGATTACTAAAGTACATTAATATCTGAAAATTTAGAGTATTTTTATTTATTTAAATAAAAAATGCCTCTTCAAAAAAAATTGAATGAAATAGTGAATATAACCCCTTAAATGAAAAAGTTCTCGAAGGATATTTGATATGTTAGAAAGTTATTTTTAGTTTCTTCAACCAAAACAAAAATACATAAATAATATATATTTGTCTTAAAATTATTAATTTCAACACTGTTATAGAGATCTCACAGTAATATATGTTCTACTATTTAAAGTTTAAATATACAAAAGTCTGTTTGAGTCATATACCTTTCGCATATAAATCCTTGTGCTAAAATATATACACCTCCTTGTTTATTTCACTTCACTTCACTTTCAAGCTGCACAATTTTAGAATATCTATAAAAGTTGTTGAGAACACTAATAGAATTTTGTATTGCCCTCAATTTTTTTTTACAAAACAATAACTGTTAATGTTACTAAATAATTTTTAAGTTTTACTTTCTTTACAACTTTTCACGACTCAATTATTTTGCAATACCGCGGATTTATTTATTTGATTAATATGAAACGATCAGTCATAAATGACAGCTAATCTCAAACTAAAGCCCTTACAGATTTTGTAAGTACTTAAATAAAATTAAAGTAAATCTTATGTGTAATGAGCAAATAAGAGCGCTATTGTTTTCGTTAAAGTGGGAGTAGTAAAAAATACCCTTCATGACTGAGAACTCGCAAGCATTATCTCTTAAATTGAAATCAAGTTGAAGAATTAGTTGTGCTGAAAATATGAGATACTGAGGTTACGAGCAAATTTTAGTAGCAATAAGGCTTTAAGCAAAGATTTGTAGAAATAAAATTCTCTAACTGATCTACTTTCATAGGTCTTTATATATTTGTATACTTGCTTTAAACGTTAATAGCTTAGCATACATTCAGGCGATTCAGCTTTTTATAGACAATTTCGTTTGCTTAGCGTCGTGCAAAAACAATTCTCAAACGAGTTACACATTTATTTACAAGAAGCGTATATTCTATTGAAGTGCAAAACCAAATATTTTGTATTTAAAAAAAATTTTAAAATAATTATTTTCTTGCTCTATAATTATATAACTTTTCCTTACATATCATACCCTTCCATATTTCTTTTATATAGGGTATAAAATGTTTACAATGCGTTGCTCTTGAGTAATTATGCATTTCTAGTAGTGCAATGATTCGTGCTTCTTCTTCTTTATGTTTAACAAATAATTATATATTTCAATACGTCAATAGTATTTCCATTTCGAATGTTAATTTATTACCTTTCAATGGTTGCAATCGTCATATGGTTTGTGCGAATAAAATTGCAATTAATTGGCTGCGAAAATTCTTGTTAAAAAAGAACACTGAATATTAATATGAGAAAATAATAAACTAATTGTTCTAAAACTAAGATTTATAATTAAATCGGCGGTATAAATAAACTAAAACAAAGTACTTGTTATTTCATAGTTTACTTTAAGTCAATATTTTATAGATATGCATGTTCACAGTAAAGTTACAAGCTCTTCATAATTGTTATTGTAATGTACAATTAATTATTATTACTATCTTAAATGGTTTGGAGATAACGAATGTCGGGAACATGAGTACATAAATTAATAAGATTTTATAGATGCAAATACTCTTATATTTCAGTTTGGGTTATTGTTGCAAAAATTGAGAACCTTTTGCTTTAAATGAAGGAATCAAGTTCTTCAGCACTAATATGGAAGTTAGCTATATAATATTAATGCAGCTTTTGTGATACCGTTCTGAAATTTTTTGCTTTTCTCCACCAGAAGCTGCTCATTTGTCAGAACCGCCGATATCGGACCACTATAGGATATAGCTGCCATACAAACTGATCGATCAAAATCAAGTTCTTGTATGGAAACTTTTTTATTTGACAAGCTATCTTAACGATTTTTAGTATAGATTATTGTCTAAGGCAATGCTACGATATCGGAGCAAATTGTTCAGATCGGACTATTATAGCGTGTAGCTGCAATACAAACTGACAAATCGAAATCAAGTTCTTGTATGGAAAACTTTTTTATTTCACAAGACATCTTCACGAAATCTGTCATCGATTATTTTCCAAAGCAATATCATAATCTTTAAATATATTCTTCAGATCAGACTATTATAGTATATAGTTGCCATACAAACTGAGCGATCAAGTTCAAGATAAAGAACTTTGTATACCCTTTTATGCTGTAAGCAATGCACCTGTGAAGGGTATTATAACGTTTTTCTTGTTTTATTGTCATTTTAATCTTAAGTCGGAACATTTCGCTTTGCAAAAATATTCGTAGCAAAATTTGTTACGAATTAACGTTACCGTCTCCGAACCGATAATTGACTGATTTCTACACAGTAAGCCTAAATTACAGAAAGATATGTAGGATTATGATTTGGATTACTTCAAAGATATGTGTTGGGGTTAAGAAGAAAATAAACTATAGAAATTATTAACTTCAACGTAACACATATTTATTGTGTTTATGGTGTTAAAGACTGCTATTATTGAAACAAAATATGCAAGTATTTCTATTACTATGAAATATTTTCACATTTCATGTAATATTTTTAAAACCAATTAAGTACTCATATGACAAAATTGTGATAATTTACATATTTGCAAATTTCGTGAGCATATAAATCACTAGCAATTACTTTGGCAATAAGCCGCCTAGAATACGCACACACGCCTCACAACAATTCAATTAAGGCATTGTATGCATTTAAATGCCGTTAAGTGACAGCATACTAAATGAAATGCAAAATTTTCCGCTTATATAATACAAAACTAACAGCCTCTCCAACATAAACACACACACGTGTGCTCTTAAACTTAACTCGTAAATGTCGTAAATT